CCGGCATTCAGCACCTGGATGAAGGGATCTCTATTGCTCGATACTATCGTCTGTGCACCAGCATTTGAGCGCCCGCCGGGATACGCACCGTACAGGACGCCAGCGCTTGTACCGCAGCGCAGGCCGTTCGCAAGCGGATTTTTGATTGGCATTTTGCCTAGGAAATCAGTGCCGAGTAGGCATGGCACGGCAAGGGACGATACCAGAATGGGACCAACCAATTGAATATTTCCAATACAGATCTGGGCGTTAATTTGACCAACTATGCCCAACTATCTCCCACTCGCAGCGAAACATGGTAGCTCGATAGATATTAGCGACTGCCATTTCTTAGGCAAAATATTAAAAATGAGATCGGAAATGATGGTTGCGGATGCCCCCGTGTCGACAAGCATGCGAAACGCAACCCCTTCAATAGAACTAATGAACACGGAGGATCCTGCAGTCATGGCGACAACCCTATGGGCCAACTCCGACCACTGACCCGGTCAGAGCGCCCATGTGGTCTTAACAACCCCCTGCCCCCCTACACCCGACTCGCGATGAGTACATAGCACGGCGTGATGAGTAGTGTAAGATGGAAGCAGGGGCCGTACGTGTGAGGTGCCACGACTTGCCTGAGGGCAATGCGGAGCTGAGGGCGGGCAAGGAGACGGCGGTGGAGGCCCGGGGACGTGGCGTCGAGGTGCTCTGCAGCCTGACGACACGTGTCCTTGGAGGTCGCAATTGTAGCAGGTGATCCGGTGCTCCGGCCGTGGGGGCGCACATTCCCTCTGCCGAGAATCACCTTGGCGGGGCCGCATGAGTGTCTGTCATCGATGGTGCAGCACAGGCGGCGACTCACATCTCACGTTGGAGGAGAAGGTGCGCCTGAATACTTTTGGCAGCTCACAGTGATTTAAGGTCGTCATCGTCCACTGCATTAATGACAATGCGCAAGTCCCGTGCCAGTGACAGCAGTCTCTGTAGGAAGAGGGTGTCGATGCCGGCATCATCCATCCTAGGAAAAGCTGCCCTAGCGAGAGCAAGCAATGCGCTGCGGAAAGCCAAGGGAGATTCCGACTCACCCTTGCTCCGGGTATTGAAGCGGTGTCTTGTGTCTGAAGGAGGCCCGTAGATGGCAGCCATATGTTTCAATGCCTGCTGCAACGTTGCACGATCCTCCTGCGGGATCGTGATGAAGGCGGCTAAGGTGTCGTCGTCGAGGGCGGCTGAAAGAGTGCGGCGTCCCTCTTCCTCTGTCCACCCCGCCATGTCGCAGTTGGAGAGGAATCTTCGTTCAAATGCCGCCCAATCTCCACCTGCAGCAGAGAATGCCTTGAGGACAGGCAAGCACTGCTGGAGAGGAGACACACGTCCCGCGTTCAGTCGTGTCACGCTGGATTTCACGGGATCCGCGGCATCGATACTGTCCACAATGGCGGTGTCCAGCGCTGGTCGTGTTGCTGATGGCGTGGTGACGTACAATTGGTGCAGGCCGAGAGCGGAAGTGACATCATTCCCACGATGCACTTATCTTCCAGCGGAAGAAGCGTCATCTTGAGCGGGAAATTCAAAATCCTTGGCGGAAGTTTGAAGGCCGGTGGCGGGAATGGCCGCCGCTTGCAGGTCCGCTCCCCCCCTCCTCCGCCATCGGCTCCCCTCGGTGGATCTCTTCGAGGATTGAAGCCACGGCGTGCAGGAGGTCGGCGAGGCGGGAGTGCGCCACACGGAGCGCACTCCCCGAAGGCGGCGGGCTCACGGGCGCTTGTGCAGGCTGCATGTCAGCCGTTGGGGCGGCCTCTTCATTGCTTGGTGGTGTTGCCGCCCCTAGAGCGAGCGCACCACCGTCGTCGTCGTCGTCCGGAGCTCAGGTACGTGCACGACTCCTTGTCTCCATTTCTAGTTAGGTCTTCGGCCACTTCTGACGCCAGTTGTAGTGGTAATTATGGAGACTCAGTCTTCTCTGGAGGCAACGCGTTTATTTATAATTATAACGGTGACACAAGGTCCCTGACACAAAGGGGTATCGGCCCCTTCCACCTGATGCCCTGGGGAGGTATAGCCTCCAGGCTAGCGTGTCCTAATCACTGGGACCACTTCCTCTATATATCAACCCTCCGGCTAGGGGGACCTAGGGGAAGCTAGCTGACCCGGCCCAGCCAAGGTCCTCGGGTCTCGGCCACTGGCCCACTCAGGTCCCGGGGGTTCCCAAGGTCCGACCACTGGCCCACTCAGTCCCGGCCCTTAGAAGGACGTCAGGTCCAGGGGTTCCCAGGGTCCTAGTCTAAGCTGGCTTTTCAGTCTTCAGCTTGACGACGACTGGAAAACCCGTTCAGAGGTCCGCCTTATATACAGCTCCCAGGGTCACTCCGCCCCTGGCCACGCCTACTCTCCGGAACCTTCTGGAGGGAGCTGGATTATTGCATAATCCCCCAGCCCCCACTGGGGGCCTGGGGTGTATACCTCCGGTTCCCAACCGCCCTCTGGGTTCCCTGGCCTAACGGCGTTACTTGCTACAGGCCGTACTCGCCGTGCCCCCTGTTGACCCGTGGCTGACGCTACACCAGGTAAGTCATGGTAACCGCGTGTAACGCACACAATACCCACTACAATAGTATATATTGACTCTATAATAGTACTCACTTCACAGAGTGTAGTGGTGAGGCCTAGTTCCGTGCAGAGACCCCGGCCTTGCCTAGGTTGCCTAGCCAGCCGAGGTGGCACCTTGGCAGGCTGGGGCTGGGGCTGGGCCGCTACCCCCCCACCATCCCCCCGCCCACTCTACGTAAGCTCTATAATAGTATATACTGACCCTATAGTTGTAATTGCACTTATTGGGGTGGGGGGGGTGGAGAAGAGGACATCACACTTTGAAGAAGTATGAATTGAATGTAATAAAGGTGCAATGTAATAAATAAATAACAAAAACAGCACGAAATTGCTAATTAAACTACTTTAAAGGTGACGGACGCGAAATTGGAATAGCGCTGGCTCACCAGGGGGCTTATGGCGTGCTACCTGGATACTTTTTTTAAACGTAAACCCCACAATTCGCGAGCCAAATGCCTCGCAAATGTCGGCCACAGGCAGACAGACAAAAAAATACATTTATAGGTAAGACTACACGAATTCTTAGGTCATGGCTGGCATGCGCAAGAATATAATATAGTTTATGTAACTGTATCACACAGCGCTGTGCTATCCGCAATCATACGGAGGCGTTCACAACCACGAGATGAGTTTATTCTTGTGAGAGGAAACTGAAACCGGAGCTCCCAGAGAAACCCCGTGCGTGTGAGGGGACAACGCCACGTTATCCTATCCTGTACACAGATTTGGGTGACACTGCGTCTTTGGCAGTGGTGCACAAAACACAGAAAACACGACAGTATGTTACAGGAAATTACCCTTCTGAGTTCCCTCTTTTTTATTTTTCCTTTTAATGCAGTGTAATCGATTAATGTGTTGTGAGTTTTTTTTTTCTATCGTATACACATGGAACAGATAAAGATTAGTCCACACTCTGCTGTATCGCCTTCTCCTGCCGAACCAGAGTTACGGCTCCTCAACCACCAACCCTCGCGTTGCCTCCACAGTCGTGGATGATGAGAGCGTTCAGAACGACGATCAGCCCACCCTCGCCACCCCTCCACACAAGGTTCGGGAGCACGGGGCTGCAGGGAGGCACACTGCGAGATGCGAAGGCTGTCACAGCGAATTATTGACCTCGTTTTGTTAATTTCACCCAGGACGCATTTCGCCAAAACACAACAGCTGCTGCCTCCCGCGCACAGTCATCAGCGGCGGATTTTCATTTGCTCCGTGTCACTCAAACTGGCCATCATGAGTCCACTAGTTTTTTTCTCGTACACGTGTGTAAAGCCCACCGCGACGATCTGGAATAACCTATGCCTCAGTTTTCTCCTTCAATGTAGGCAGTGCCGAATTATCCTAGTAGCAAAAGTAGCTACATATGTAGCTATGGGCCCCGCACTTTCAAGGGCCCCGCGCTAAATGCTTTCAAGCTATCAATTCCGGTTCAGTGATTTTGCACTTGCTCTATTACTATAGTACTACACTGCCTTCAACTTTTACGAACGACTGGGTGTTTAAGGTTCGCGATTTGTGATATTATCTGGCTGTATAGCGAATGAAAAAATACAATTACTTTACTATGCCAGTTAAAAATATTTTAAATATTTGGTTTTTTTCATTTAGGGCCCCTTTATAACATATGCCACAGGCCCCGCAATAGCTTAATGCGGCACTGAATGTAGGGCGGGTTTATTAGAACCTCACGAACAATGTCAGCAAGATAATAAAGTATATCACAGTGGTGCGTGGAACTCAACGCGCAACACCGAGCGAACTGCCGCCCCCTCACCATTCTACTCAGTGGCAGTCACTTTGCTCCAGCCTGGTCCAGGAGCTCGGACACAAAACTGCTATATGCACCAATAACGCGATGTGCATCGCAACCACAGCACAGAAACCGACACCAATCCCCTAGATCCCTGTTGTGGAGAACATTCTGCCACCAAATATTGGCAGACATGCAAACAAAAAAGGAGTTTACACGTTTTCTTGCCAACGACAACCTAACCATCAACCAAGACCTCACCAATGTACCTCACCGCCAACTCAAGACCTGACCCCCCTTCTGGGATTACACTATCATCCTAGAATATCACCCAGATCCTGAAGAACACTGGTGAACAGAGTAGAACAACATGGATGTCCAGAATAAACACCTCATTTAAGACTCAAACATCGCACATCCTTTTACATTCCTCAAACAAATTTTATACCCCCCTGTGATTTCTGTTATTTTATTTTTTTACCTACGTGACTTTACCTAATAGAACCAAAGAGTATATACCATTAACCGCACAGTCATCAGCCCCCACCCCTCTAAACTTCTTTAATGACGCATACGCAGTTGGACACTGTCGTGCCGCAAAGCCAACTTGAAAGTGTGCCGTTGAGAAGACCTTATATAAACATTGAATCATAAGCCATTCACCACAATGAGTTTATTTTTGCACAGTTTAAAACAAAATCCACTTAAATGCGAGCAACTGTTCATACAAAATACCCTTGGTGGAAACGCAACGTAAATTTAGATTTAAAATGTAAAAATCTACATTACGCAATGTAAATCTACAATTACCATCAATCATTCAAACTTCTGACCAAAACTGAGACCGTGGGCTTTTGATCAACTTGATCATGCAAACAAGAGTTCAAATAAGCTCAGAACACATGCCAGACACAGGTGAATTGATACAGCGACCACTGATTCATAAGCTATAGTCCCATAGGTCAAGATGAGACATTTATCTCGTCGGTACCACCTGCAGTGGCATAACTCTCATGGTAACAATTTATTTACATGGCCAATAACAATTAATTCTGTGAAAACCATTTGAAATGAGTGGGTTATCATTAGCCATATAAATACATTGGTACGACTGAAACTTTGCTGCCTTAGGTGGTCCCAATTTCTGCTCTGGCCCATGGACTATGGTGGTGAGATAATGGATATACCATCCCACATTGGTACTCAAAGTGCATTACAAGACCACAAACCCAAGCTTATGGAGCCATGCTTAAGTTTTACAGACTGATTAAACCTTAGTAAACACTCAACACTAGAATACTAAGCAGTTCCATACGAGGCACAGCACATCCAATGTACCTCTCGCTATGGCTGTAGCTACTAGTTAGGTGCAATCTACTCCAGTCTACCAGCGACCTGGGAATATTAGATGATAAACTAAGCCGTGGTTATAGCAGTTGCCAAACCACACAGCTTATCGCAGCATACCCAACACTACAAACACTACTGAACTGGATACAGAGAAGCAAGTTAACTAGGGTATCAAAACAAAGAGATGAGCATTAGTTGCTCATAAGCCATAGCCCAGCGCGATCGCACACTTTGTCGTCAACACTATACACAAACGTAAACATTCTGTGTTGCACAGAAATCCTGAGTTCATTTAAAATGTGCACCATACATTTTCTCGGTGCATCAATCTGGATACTGAAAGACCGTCGATCTCGGCCACTTCAAATTAAAATTTTCAGAGTGATTTCTCCCACGATCAAATCACTCTTGGTTTGCCCAATTCATGGATACCACATATTATAATAATCGTTTTAGCAGCATCAGAACACTATCAGGCAGGAGTTTTTAAACTGGGAAGTCTGTTGACCCCGAAGTGGACGCAGGTATCATTAAGGGGGTCTGTGAAAGACAAGTGGATTCACAGTGGATTATCCTGCTAATCCAGCTTGCACCAGCGCAAGAGTAAAACAGACCTTGATAAACACACACAGCTACAACACTGCCCCACTGTGGGGTTCTCAAAGTGCCTCGGAAGACGTTTCAACTGTGGCTCTACTAAGCCTTGATACAAAAATGATTGAGAATCGCTGTCACAATGCACGTAATGGGATACACATACACTCAAATAAAGCGCAGCTGCCATCTTATACCTACAGTTTATGCAATGAATCAATAATCCCTGATTATACTCTTGGACGTTCCTTGTAATGTCTTGTATGTGTTGTTATTTGTGTATCATCAGTGCTTTAGTTTGTTTTGGCCTTTTTTACTTTTATCCATCCGCACTGTATGTTATGTTCTAATTTGGTTATGTCATTCTGTCTACATTGCATGGCTCATCTGTATGTGGAACATAGGTATGTGCACTTACATAGCATAAAATGAGCATAATCAAAAACAAACAATTCTTGGGCATGTAACTTGATGTGTGTGTCATTTGGGTCATGAATCGATTTTCATCAATGCATGATTCTGGTTCCACAAAGGAGCATGTGCACAAGTCAATTTTCCAAACTGGAAAATGCTTGCCTGACTTGTCAAACCAAGACTTGCCATACTGTTTTCAACACGACTACATTTAGATTAGTCTGCGCTGTAATACTCACATCAGCTCCCCTGAAGTTTCTTCACCTGCATTAAATAGTCGTTATCTGCTAATTACCCAGGGTAATGCAAGGTGGAGGGGTGGCCCAAATTAAACAAAAATACGGATAATGCAAAACATGTGTAGATTAGGCTATAAAAATATGCATCGTTTAACTATGCTGAATGGGGGTGAAGATGCAGAATGTGGCATCTGTTTTGATTGCTTCTTAAACTAATCGATTTGCTTCCCGACGTGCTTGCATTAGCATAGGCACCCAGTCACTGACCATCGACTGACGAGTGAGGAGCGCCTAATGACTATACGAGCGCATGTGGAGAGATATTCTATATTTTTGCAAACAAGCTTAAAACTCAAAGGGAATGGTCTGCCCACGGATCATTGATAATTAACTGTAATTGAGTTTTTTAAAAACTCGCCCAAGTTAAAGGAGTTATATCATGTATCCAGAGGCTCAACAGTGATAAAGTGCAATGTCAATGTGTACGCTTTACCTATTAATTTTGGATTATTTTACAAAATATGTTCTCAGATGTTTTGTTGCCTTAAGAATACTCTATCTGAACCCGTAGCAAAGAGCACAGTGTCTGTGTAAATTCCCGTGCATATGGAACTTTTGCAGGCTATTGACACACCATCAGTATGTCTGTCAGGCTGTGCTACGCAACAGTACTACCCACAGCTGGCTGAGAACCATGGGGCCACAGCCTCCTCGTGAAGTGGTCCCTGTGGAAGGGTCCTCCACATGGCAGAGTCTTCTTGTTGTAGGAACTCTACCAACGAGCAGTGTTGGGTCGTGTCAAGACAGCAAGGCCCTCACAGTTGAAGATTCCAAGTCCTGGTGCCTATAACAGAGCGTGGTGTTACCACAATCACTCAATTCTCCATCTCACAAATGTATGTATATTAAGCTTCTTTCGCACCATACATAACCAACCGTGCTAATCGGAGGTGCACGGGAAGGACAAGAAACTAAACACTAAAAGCAGAAGCACATCTCAAAGTGCACGATGCGGTGACGTACATGTTTTTCTGTTTACACATTTGTGCAACAATCACGCTAAATCTCCTTGAATGATTCTGGAAGTTAATTTTGCTCTGAAGTTTTAAAAGTAATTTGTCAGAGCCAACTTTTATTTCAGGAAATTCATTTCAATTCATACGTATTTATGTGCATACAATATCTTTAAAATGTTTTATGTAATGCAGTTATTTTTTATCTGACTGCTATTTTCTTCACTGTCACACTTTGCTTATGTTATTGCTTTTATCATTATAGTGACCCCGGTCATTCTTGCAATTAAGACTCTATTATCCTGGTCTCTTGAGTTTGGTTCAACAAAATACACTTGAAAGTTGATATAAAAGCAATTTAGGAGTGAAAGGATGTTATAACCCACACACTTTCATACCGGGTGGCTTGGCCTGTACTGTAGTAGCCACTCTCCATGAGCACATCTTCAATCATACACTGAAAAAGAAAAGTGTAAGCACATTCCATTTGGTTGTGTCCAGATATTTTAACCTCATACCAGTTGAATGCTGATGACTGTGAACAGCTCAGACACTTCTTCCGCGCTATATCGGAGCTCCAAGCATGATTCACAAACACCAACAAATAATATTGCAGCAAAGGTGCCAAGAGTAGTTACCTGCATTTGCCCATAAGTGATGCCTTCCTGATTGTCATCGCCATCATAATAACCTGGACACAGAAACACAACTGGGTACTCATGACGTAGAAATCTAAACATATAATCATGTAAAACACTGAACTTCAGATAAAGCACATGAATGAATTGTATCGTCCATTGTGGTTATCATTTGGACTTAACAAGGGTCTTAAGAGTCGATCGTGTATTGTATTCCAAAAATCCAATGAATATAAAGTGGGTTTTCTTTTAATTCTTGGTGAAGATATTGATGAACTCAAACTTAACCAAACAAATTATTTGGTGATACTGCATTGGGAGGGGTGCACAAATAACAAATACGTAAGATATTCGTCATGAACACTCTGAAGGGTCGTTGCCCAAAACGTCATCAATTAAATATATTTTTTCCTTTTAAGGCCACGGTGTTAATGACGAAGGTGTTGAATATTTGTCAAACATAACTGAAGCTCTCATCAGTATTTGCTTGTTTCATGAAATTAGCGAAGCTGTGTCAAACGATAACTGTGAAGACCACCAATTAAAAAAGTAATTCACTGGCCAAGGTCAACGGCGACGAGTGAAGATCAGTGGAGGGAGTGAGCTGATGGTGGTGCTGTCCCTCACGATGGGTTTCCCCTGAGCTCAGCTGGGAGCTGGAGCTGCTCTGACAGTGGACGCCAGGCTTCGCCAGGGCCCAGCCCAAGTCGATCACCTCCTGGGAACCCTGTACCACCTGCCCAACGAACACGCGGCCAACAACTTATGATGCTTTTCAAGCCCAACTTGCCATAGCCATGCAAAACACAGACCCACATAGACTTGTAAAGTATGCGTTTCAAGATCAATTAAAATGATGGTGGCTCCTTATCTTACAGGGAAGAGTGCTAAAGTAGTCAATAAATGTATTGAGAAAACCGGCCAGGTGGCTCAGTGGTAGAGCGAGGGCCTTGCAATTGCAAGGCTGCGAGTCCAAATCCTGGTTGGGGGTTGACATAGCTCATCATCCCTCTGGTGTTGATAAAAATTGGTACCACTTTATGGGTAAGTCAACAGTGGTTGTCTTATGGAGAGACTTGCCTATGCCATATGAATGTGAAATTTCCACCACTGGCTCAGAAGATGAACATAAATGCATCAACGGTCATTTGACTTTTGAGAATGGTGGGAGATGTAGAGGCTTTAAAGTAACAAGTTTTTTGTCATTAATTTCTTCCCATTATTTTTATCTATAAATGGATCACCCTGTAACTTGTTGAACGAATGTTAAAACAACAAAACCAAACCTTCTGAATCTCACTCTTGAGATTGCAAGCATTGCTGTGGGGACTGAAGAGCGACTTCTTGAAACGTTCCACAGCCCTGCGTGACCGGTTGTGCGTCAGCGATGGAGGAAGCTAAAGCCCAATACAGGAGACATTATGGCTAGAGGCACTGTTACATACAACTACACAATACACAGAACTACCAAACTGGAGAAGCGTTAATTTGAAAAAGACACGTTAAATGCATATGCTGTGAATTCATTCTAAATTCCTTCTTACATTTAAGTAAAAGTGACCAGCAAAAGTGCATGGAGCCACTGCCTAGATTAGTAGTTCCCAACCTGTGGTGCCAGCCCATTGGTGGTCCACATAGCCATGTGGGTGGTCTGCGAAACTATTGCAGACATTATATTTTTCAACAAACACCAGATTTTTTAAATAATACTATAAATACTCTTTGTTTTTTTTCGGTAAAGTCACGTAGGTAAAATAAAATAAATGAAAACTAAATTAAATCACGACGTTTCGGAGGCAACACAAGCTTCCGTCTTCAGGTGGAACAGTCACAGCAAAATAGCTGTATCACCTTAAGACGGAAGCTTGTGTTGCCTCCGAAACGTCGTTATTTAATTTAGTTTTCATTTATTTTATTTTACCTATGTGACTTTACCGAAAAAACCAAAGAGTATGAATCCTTACAGTCACGAAAGCTTCAAATCTAAAAATAATTTAAATGTATAAAGCGTCCTTAAACAATCATTCTCAGGGTGCTATGCATGGCAAGGCGGAAAATAGTTAACAACCAAGTAAAGAAGAAGTGAGAAAGACGGTTGAAAATAAGTAAAGATAGAAAGCCATTTTAAACAGATACGCACAGTGGTTCATGAAAACATTTTAAAGGTGCCATTTTTACACGAGTTCAGAAGGGTTGGGACTCACTTTATAGATGCTTACATTAGCAATACAAAGTTATCCTGAATGATACTGTAGGCCCTAGGCACATCTGTTTCATAGGCGTTCAGTGATAACTTACTAGAGTTGGTACTGCTGCCCATGTTACTACCGCCGCTGTCACTCGCTTGTTTCACGTGTACTTCGTCGAGCTGCTGGACAGATGTCGTTCCTGATATGTTCATTATTTAGTCTGTGCCCTAATTGTATGGGAGCGTGCTGTGCCGCAGATAATTAGCTTTAATTTGAAATGATTTCTTTTTTTAAACATAGTAAGCCTATAAAATATTAAAAGCGAAAATTTCTCCAACTATTTTTTACTATGATTATCATACTCTTTGGTTCTTTCGGTAAAGTCACGTAAGTATAAAATAAAATAAATCACGTTTCGGGCGCAACACAAGCGTCCATCATCAGGTGGGAAAGCATGGTCTGCTGCTGAGGCAGACTTTTGTAATAGGTTTGAAATGGGCTCAAGGGTTACAAAGAAGTGGCCGGGGCTAGTGATGTTAATGTGAGAAATTAGCATGATGTTAATGTGAGAAATTAGAGGGCACTAAAGTGGCTATGTTAATGTGAGGGATTAACATGATTATGCTTTGGTTCTTTCGGCAAAGTCACGTAGAAAGAGAAAATAAGAAACCAAACAATAGCACACGATGCCTCGACTGCAACACAAGCAATCACCACCAGGCACAAATGAAAGAGAAAACAAACCTAGCAAATTTCGATTTAAAGCTTTCGTGACTGCAATGATTCATCTTCTTTGGTTCTTTCGGTAAAGTCACGTAGAATGAGAATAAAATAATAAATTGATAAAATAAAATAACACAATAATATTCTCACGACGTTTCGGCCACAACACAAGCGGCCTTCATCAGGTGAAGGGAGCGAGACTGTCTGGTAGGACAGCGCTGGAGTGAGAGAGCCACGTTCAGATCACGGCTTTTAAGCTGTGTGAGAGGAACAAAGAGCCTTGACGAAGGAATCAGCATAAAATTTAGCATTGAAAAGGCTGAATGATTAGCTTGTGACTGGTCACAGAAATAGTTATGTTAAAAGTTAAAGCATACACATCCGCAGAGGCACCCATTGTTAAAAGGAATTAGCATAGAATTTAGCATTGAAATAGCTAAATTAAGGCATTCGCTTGTAACTGCTACAGAAATAGTTACATTGAAGTCAGAGCATACACATTCACCGAGGCACTTAGTACAAATCAAAACAGGAGAATTTAGCATTGAAATAACTAGGCGAATTTAGCATTGAAATAACTGGGTGATTTGCTGGTGACTGGTCACAGAAATGAACAGCATTGTGATATATAACGACTTATGGTTGGTAGCTTAGCTGATTGGAGAATATAGAGTTTATTGATAACATAAAGGTAATTTATATTTTAGTTTTTATTGGTTCACTATATAGTACTGTGAATAGCTCAGATGTGTAGTCATTTCTGTGACCAGTCACCAGCAAATCACCCAGTTATTTCAATGCTAAATTCGCCTAGTTATTTCAATGCTAAATTCTCCTGTTTTGATTTGTACTAAGTGCCTCGGTGAATGTGTATGCTCTGACTTCAACGTAACTATTTCTGTAGCAGTTACAAGCGAATGCCTTAATTTAGCTATTTCAATGCTAAATTCTATGCTAATTCCTTTTAACAATGGGTGCCTCTGCGGATGTGTATGCTTTAACTTTTAACATAACTATTTCTGTGACCAGTCACAAGCTAATCATTCAGCCTTTTCAATGCTAAATTTTATGCTAATTCCTTCGTCAAGGCTCTTTGTTCCTCTCACACAGCTTAAAAGCCGTGATCTGAACGTGGCTCTCTCACTCCAGCGCTGTCCTACCAGACAGTCTCGCTCCCTTCACCTGATGAAGGCCGCTTGTGTTGTGGCCGAAACGTCGTGAGAATATTATTGTGTTATTTTATTTTATCAATTTATTATTTTATTCTCATTCTACGTGACTTTACCGAAAGAACCAAAGAAGATAAACCTAGCAAACTCTGATTATCATATCGGATTGCACAGCTTGAAAAGAATGCCGTTCATTTTCATCGATAACAAATTCAATGTTTTGACAGGATGACCGCATGGTGAGTACCATATTTCTTTACTTTTGGTTAAGCTTAGAGGTTTGTTTCACTGTTATTTTAGGTCCATAATAAAGATTTTTGTTAGATCGTGTTATTATAAATGTGTCGCAACCCTCCACCAACCGACATGGCCAATCAGTAAAAAATGTGTCACGTTAACAAAACTCCAATTAGTTACTTCTTCAGCTCACCGGTGTGTTTGGCCGTGTCGGGTGGTGGAGGGTTGCGACACATTTATAATAACGCGATCTAACCCAAAAACCTTTATGATGAATAATACTGGTCGCAAAAGCCTACGTGTTAAACTGTTATTTTAGGTGTAATATGCCTCACAACGAGTTAACGACTTGTTATCACTGCACAGAAATTGCAACGAGCATAAATATATATTATTCAAGAAGATATCTTGCTTACATCTTTTATCATACAAACAAAAAAAACTGTTGTTTTTCGTTGGCTCTTCAGTTTTCGTAGGCCCTGCAGATACCAATCAAACTAGCCATAAGAGTTAATATTTGTTATCCTTCCACCCCACCTCCAATTATGAAGGTCGGCTATGTACAATGCAAAAGAAGTTCAACATACATACATTCGCATGCTATACATGCTGTATTATTGCCTTTAGTGCAATATCCTGTGACAGGACTTAACTTCTAAGTCATACTTTATACATTTAACTTGCCTTCTTAAATGTAATGTGCATCAACAATGGCAAAACACAGCTCTACAGCGAGTGATGTAGGGGGGTCGGCATGAGCACTGTACGAGGAATTAATTGGCACCACCTCCTCAACCCGGTACAATTGTCCCCTTCTAAATTGTAGCCCAGCACTCGGGCACCTCCGGCCCATGGAGACCAGAACAGCTGCACCGCCTGCTCACATGTTAGCTATACCACTGTGTACAGAAAGTGTCGCACTGCAGCAGTAATTGGTGAGGTTTGGGTCACGTACTTGTGAAATGTAGATAAGCTTGTGCAGCTGCAAGAGGATCTGCTGGATGGGATCCGAGATCTGCCTCACCTTGCGCTGTGACACTGCAATGCCCGTTCCTGACCCTGGACATAATCAAAACGGCCCACTTTGCTCCTGGAGGTCACACAGCCATGGGGCCTCATCACAATATTCATCCTAATGCTCACGACTCAACAGACTGTGCGGATGGACGCAAATGCTTTGGTCACCGCAATTATAAACTATCACAACTCATGCCTGTGTGAACATCTCTCAGCCTGTCAGCATAAACATCACTAAAAACTTCAACAACCCCAGTCGACTTTCATTCAGTGAGCCACCCCATCTGTTGATTAGTCTGCAACTGCCTTCCCCGTCATCAACTGTCAACTCCCTGCCCCTGTTCAGTCAAGTTCAGCCTTAAAATATTCCTTTTCCCCCCCTATATCTGACTGCCTCTTGCTATCCACATAGCATCTCAAGATGCGGTCACATACAGATGCTATATAGAACCATATTTTATTTACGATTGTGCAGCAGTAGACGGGTACAAGCGAATGAATTAGCAAGGAAACTCACGAGGTCGCGGTCTGGAGCTACCCCTGCAGATGGAGTCGGCAGAGCGAGAGTAGCGGCGTCGCTCGGCCGATGGGTGCTGCCTGGATGGGCTGCTCACCGTGCTGGAGGGCCCTGGTGGTGTCAGGAGCGAGTCCTCACCCTCCAAGCCTTATCCACATGCCGCAACAGTGAAGAGAGCCAAGTTATTATTATCATCATGTTCGTTTACCCAAGAAAGCCTCACCGAGTCTGATGACTCTTTTTCAGGAGGGTCCTGCCAGCTTTTCTTATTAGGAAGTGCCGATCAATATATGTATGTCAGTAATTTGGCCTGGAACACCAGCATACAATGGGCAACTCTTCTTCAAATTAATGTTTCCAAAAATTGTGGCTGCCTGTGGCGGTACGTGCACGTGCCATAGATTGGTGACTCGGCGCCTCTCTTTTCGTGGTCGATACAGGTTTTGGGCACCAGCGCGAAGGCACACGGCAGGCCTACCATACCCTCTTCCACAAGGGCCGACCCAGGCTTCCCCCCCCCTTCCATCCAATCCACGCCCAGTGTGCCCCCCTCCCAGCCCTCTTCACTGCGCAAGCTTGATGCACCCCCACTGCTCTCCAAGCTGCCTCCCTTGCCTTCCTGCTCCTGCACCCACCGAACACACACATATACACATACGGGCTAGGTCATATGCAGGTGTGAATGGCAACCTACTGAACTCCAAATGCAAAGAAAATCCTTCATCTTAATTGAGGGCAGACATGCAGCAGAAACATAGGTTCCCTTAAATTTCGATTTAAAGCTTTCGTGACTGCAATGATTCATCTTCTTTGGTTCTTTCGGTAAAGTCACGTAGAATGAGAATAAAATAATACATTGATAAAATAAAATAACACAATAATATTCTCACGACGTTTCGGCCACAACACAAGCAGCCTTCATCAGGTGAAGGGGCGAGACTGTCTGGTAGGACAGCCTTTCACTCCAGCGCTGTCCTACCAGACAGTCTCGCCCCTTCACCTGATGAAGGCCGCTTGTGTTGTGGCCGAAACGTCGTGAGAATATTATTGTGTTATTTTATTTTATCAATGTATTATTTTATTCTCATTCTACGTGACTTTACCGAAAGAACCAAAGAAGATAGGTTCCCTTAATCTGGCTTCCAGTCACAGTTTATATCAAGAAGCATTAACATTGAGGCAATAAATGGTGATGTAACTCGCAGAGAGAATCTTTGGCCAGGTAGCTGAGCAACAGAATGAGCAGCTCGCAAATCACATAGTTGCAAGTCCAAATCCTGGTTGGGGGTTGACTGTCATCCCTCTGGAGTCGATCAAATAAGTAACACTTTGTGGGAATTCAACCATGGTTGTCTTGTTAAGAGGCTCACCCCTGCCATGGGACTGGAATTTTCACCACCGACTCTGGGCTGTAAACAGGAGCTGAGCACTGCCTCAACACTCACTTGAGCAAGAAACCCCTCTGACTTCAGTTGTTGTGCTTTGATGTATGCATAAATATCACTTAAATGTTCTGTAACTGTTTTTCAATCAACATAACATTGCTACAAGCCTTCTAATAATTGCAACTTCTCGATCCAAAATCATTATAATGTACTTGCTGTCAATTACTCCAGAATTGTTTTTACAAAGCACAAAAAAATTTAATTTATTGAGAACATTTATTATTATTTCTGTGAACTACAATTATTGGATTCCTCCAGTATAAATTAAGATTCTGATTGTGATTTCTGAAATATTTTGTCAAGAAAAAAATTAAACGTTGTGCAAAACAGAAACATTTCTGTGGACCTTATATTGTACGATATATATCACAGCATTGCTATTCCACAGAATTTAACGTGAGTGTGAATGTGAGCATGGCTACCTGTTGTGCCAGGCAACAATGTGCGTGCATGTGGGCCTGCGCTAGACGGCGCTGAGTACGGCGCCGCTCCCTTTCCAAGCGGTGCTCCATGTCACAGCAGTTGGCTCCCAGGGCATCTGCATGAGCCATGAGGCGCGCCGACAGCCCTGCGCACACCTCCACCACGTCCGGGCGCAATCCAGCCTCGGGACTGAGGCACCTGTCCCGCCACACCCACACAGAGCATTTACGAAACCATCACGACGACAGCCAGGCGGTATCGGCCGAGATAGTTTTCAACGACATCAACATCTCCTTGCGTGACCTCGACGGTAAAACGAACCGATCTCGACCGCCCACTCAGTCAATGCCAGGGCCCACTCTCTCACGGAGCAGCGGTCAGCACAATCACACATAATAACAACAGCTGCCATTTGGCACTATGTGGTGGTGACATCACCACGGCACTTGTGCCAGGCTAAATGCACTTTTAGGCCATGTGAAATTATGGAAACTCACTAAATCTAGATTGAGAACTCATTTCTTTAGAACTGCTTTTATATTTAGTTTGTTGTCCTTCCCTTGTACCTCTGATTCGCATGGTTGACTATGTACAGTGCGTACAAAGTCCAACATACATACATGCTGACAGGAAGTCAGACTCAGGTGTTATAGGTTAACTGACCGAGATTTCTGACAGATGCACAACCTGTGCTCCCCACTATGCCAACTTGCATGTTTTAGATGTCTGGGTGCTCAGCTCATTGTTGTGAGTATCGCTCCTCCATCCTCTATTGTTATTGGACATCAATTGCCTCCAGCTGCCCAGTAGCATCCTTCTTGAGCCTCCTCCACAGTGGCTGATCTTGACACCGCTGATATCAGTCATTGGCAAGTCCAATCAGCTCCACATCCTCCTGTACCACACCAACTCATCTCTTCTCCAGTCTGTGTTGTGCCCGTGTAGCCCTCTCTAAACCCGAAGCTTCGTATGGGGCAATAGTCGATAGCTCCCACACATATTCTTAGCTCTTTCGGTAAAGTCACGTTGAAGGAAAAACAATAAAATATCTGTTTTCCCTTCAACGTGACTTTACCGAAAGAGCTAAGAATATGAATTACTGCAGTCACGAAAGCTTTAAATCAAAAGCTCCCACACAGTTGGACTTGTGGGCAAGTCCAAGCAACACAAAACCGCAACAGCACACACTGCACAAATATCAAGCAAAACACAACCCCAGATACTCACAGAAAATGATGGTGCCCTTAGTGACAGTACTGTTTGATGACATTCTAAACAAACGATGGGAAGGTTCAACGTAAGGAGGAGCTCACCTTCGTACGGTTTTGCTGAGCTGGGCCGAATAGAGTCCTTCAGTGATTGGCTCATAGGTCGCCCCCACTATCTGCATGTACATAAAATCACACCAGTCACATTCAAACAACATCATGGTGCTAGCATTGTGTGGAATTATTGTAATTCAGCTGCACATTTAATATTTACATCCATGCAATGGAAAGTAATCATTCATGCAAGTGTAGTGACATTGAAGGAGTCACTATAGCACGTGCCGCTGGGAGATTGGGAGACAATGGAATTAGGGGTAGCAGCCCATTCTACCAGTTGGACTTGTGGGCAAGGCACGGAGCCTTCTGGGGAATCCAGAGGGGTGCGGGGCCGGGGGCGGAGCCTCGCCATGCTGGGCAGAATAAAAGGCGAGCTCCGACTCACAGTCGGGGCTGCTGCGATCTGGAATGGAACTCGTCGTGCCAATGTCATCGTGATCTTCGCCCTCTTCAAGCTGCGGGTCTGGCAGCATGTTGGCTGTCCCGACCCAGTATGTAGTTATCCCCTAAGGCTGTGAAGGCCGGAATAAAAGAGAGAGAGTACCTCCTACTAGTGTCTGTGAATTAGTACACTACACAAGAGACACTTGTTTGGCAAATTAGATAGTACTGTTGGGAGTTTGGAGAAATGGCTGCAGAGTCATGGTACCAGATTTCATGCAGAGGTTTTGTTTCAATGTGATTTGATCAACTTATTTTATTTGTTGATGTGGGCCATTTGTGTGTTAGCATCAGATAGGTTTATAATAGTGCGAGTTTGTTAGTTCAAGTTATAGCTATGGTCTGAGCTAGAGTTATTATTGATTTAGTACGTACTTTAGTTGTTAGTATCATCATTATCAAGGAAGGTGCCTTAGCGTTAGAGCGAACGGCTCACGATCAGAATATATCGAGTTAAATTCCTCGTGTGGGGTTGACCCATACCTCTGGGGTCGATAACATGAATTCCACTTTGTGAGCAAATCAACAGTGGTTGTTTGTCCTCTGGACAGACTCACCTCTGCCATAGAAATTTGAAATTTCCACCACTGTCTCAGGGCTATAAACAGGAGATGAGCACCACCTCAATGCTCATTTGAGCAAGAAATTACTTCAAATTTTTTGTGGCTTTGTGGCACAGATGACAGGTGGTATATACACACCCTGCTGGCGAGGGAGAGCATATTGGTGCTGTAGAATGGCGGTGTGAGCATAGCCAATTGGTAGAGGATGCACCCAGCTGCCCACACATCTGCTCGCTCATCGTATGGCTCATTCTTCACAATCTCTGGGCTGCACTCACACACACAAGCAGACATGTATACACAATATAAATGTGTAAACAATCACAGTGCTGTGGATCCTGTGTGGATTGTCTTGTGTGGCAGGTAAAGGTGGTAAAAGTGCGGCCCTGCAATTGCTTGTTCACGCTACTAGCGGGAGGGTACCCACTAGAGAGAGCTCTGGAGGGTATTTCAGCTACGCTTCCACATTGGGCACACGTGCTGATCACATAACTGTGGTGTACTCATTGAAACTGGCTAACCATCGATAAAAAACAGTCACTGCATCACACACTTTCAGATGCGCTTCTTCGGCCGTCTAGAACGCTCTTCCTTTTGATATTAGGAAGCCACTGGAGCTATACACTTAAATCTAAATAAAAACGTATTTATTTAGAACTGTATTCTTTGGTTCTTTCGGTAAAATCACGTAGATAGAAAAAATAAATGTAAATTAAAATACTACAATGTTTCGATCACAACACAAGCGATCGTCATCAGGAGGACGATCACTTGTGTTGTGATCGAAACGTCGTAGTTTTTATTTTATTTACTTTTATTTTTTCTATCTCCGTGACTTTACCCAAAGAAACAAAGAATATGAATTCCTGCAGTCACGAAAGTTAAGTAATTATTTAGAACTGCTTTTGTGTTTAGTTTGCTGTCCTCCAATTAGCACGGTTGGATACGTAAGGTGCGAAAGAAGTTCAATATACATACAACTGCTAGGTGAAAAGGTTTCTAAAATCCAGAGGGATCTGAGATTCTTGGACAACGAGCGTGCTGGAAGATGGAATCCAACCACAGCAGCTCCCTTGTGTTGCATACCTGGGTAAATATTCATAACTAGTCTTTTGCCTGTCCAAGGACGGGTGTATATTGCATCAATTCGTGTGCAATTTGTAACGCCGCGGTGACAGACTTATTTCATTTAAACGTTATAATCCCTTGTTCATCATGACGTCCTTTTTACTTCTATGTCTCAAAAGCGTTACGGAGGTCGCGTGACGTGAGGGTTCTGCCTTTCTAGTGAGGACTGTAAGTTGACACTGAGGGGGAGGAGGCGCCTCGCCCCCCCTATGTGGAGTGACATCACCCGCTAATTAATATTAATGGTGGGGGGTGTCCATTCAGAAGATGTCACCTCTTCATGATTATTAATGTGGGGGGCTGTTCGATGTGGACTGACGTTACCTGCTCCGGATTTTTCATGGGGGGGGGGTTCTACATGTGCAGTGACGTCACCTGCTCATGATTATTAATGAGAGGGAGGGTCCATGTGGAGGACGTCACCTGTTCATGAGTATTAATGAGGGGGGCTGGCCGACGTGGAGTGACGTCACGCGTGGGACACACAGACATTCTTGGCTCATTAAAGTAAATACCAGGCAAGCTGCCAGTGAGCACAGAGCCCTGTGGCTTAGTCCTACCATACATAAGTAGAGAGCACAAAGCCCTGTATAGCCCAGCCCTAGCACACAAATGTCTGATGCTGTGAGAGTGAGCAGCCCACCAGGAATAGACGATGGTGCCCACCATGGATGTCAGCTTGCTGTTCTCCTGCTTCTGCTTGGCCAGCCCAAAGTCCGCTTGGCAACACAAATTCCAAGACTGCATTATTACACAATTTAATATTACTACCCTATTTTCCCGCATATAACCCGTGGGGTATACCAAATTTTACAAACAAAAAAAGACCCTGCAGGGTATATGGAGGTGCGGGCTATCCCAAAAATATTTTACACGTGTGACATGTCATAACCCGTTTAATGTTTCATGGTAGGACTATCCACTATGCAACGCTTACCTTTGACTAAAGCACTGCTGAATAAACCGCTCATACTAAAATTGCACATGTTATCACATTTTAAATGATTCGAATTGTTTGTACAATCAAACGACAATGTTTGAAGTGGGCGCACTTTGTTTACCGTAATACTTTCAGTGGCAGTAGGGGGGTGCGAAAGTTTCAATTGAGGCTATGGATTGCACAATGCGAAGAGCCTTAACAAGCGTCTACCAGACGCGGAATCAAAATTGCTGAGTCCCTTAGGCCGCTGCTATTAGCTGAGCACTATACAGTCGCGACCATGAGCTTTGTTTCAAACTTCCAATGGCTTTGTTGCCAGGAGGCAATGGCGTTACCGTAGTTCCGCTATTGTCTGCGCAGTGCACAATCTACCAGTGCTAAAACTGTACAGGGGTAACTACCGGTCCAGTAGCTGTAACATGATGAGGTCGAATTCTGGTAAGCCTAACAGTACGCTTACTTAAGGTAATTATCTACCAGTTATGTGTTACTTATTTATTGTATTTTTAGTTTTGTTACTTATTTACTGTTTTAAGTTCACTCGTTTTCGGTTAGTTTGTTTTCTTTGTGCACGTTATGATTTTAATGTTAACAATTGATAGTGGAATGTATTACAAATGTAAACTTTTAATTAATATGATGGAATTAAGCTGCAGTAACGATGTTAAAGATATGAATGCATGCGGGGTATATGGAGGTGCGGGCTATCTGAAATTTGTTTTACACAAAACGCTTTTTGCGGGGTTTATGCGTCTGTGGGTTATGTGCGTATGCGGGCTATATGCGGGAAAATACGGTAAACACTGTTATATTCCCCAGAATGTCAACATTATATGGCTGATAGGATATGTAAAAATGCTTTTATTTTAATGTGGAGGGATGGACATGGGAAGGAGGCAAATTGTCTGCTTATTTTGTTAATTATATTCTCCACAACAATGCAAAGATTATTCTGTGTCACATTATTTGGTTGCTATCCCAGTGATGAATATGTACAAATATTCTTACAGTATCATTACAGCAATGCAAATGTGTTCTAAGCTCTTTTATCTGTAAGCACTGGATATAACAACTGTCGACGAGTGTTCTCTCACTGATGGTGATGTGGTCACTCTCCCCCAGCATGATGTTGCCAGGAGTCAGGTCTCGGTGGATGATGTGCTTCTCCTTATGTAGGTAACGCAGTGCCAAGCAAATCTGCAAAGCACATTATGCATTACAAAACATTCTTGCAGGATTGACTCCACAGTGAAAACCTTTTCCCAGAGTTAAAAGATGCTGAAGTAATGTATGGCCTTAACAGGACTCTGCTTTTAACATCCAGGGTGACCTTACATTAAGGTTGCCACCAGTCCAGCTATGACCCAGACAGTCCGGAAACCGGCACCTGTGTTCGGGTGGCAGGAATTGATTTGTAGCAAGATCTGGTACTGATATTGTAAACGACATTACAGAATTACTGCACAACTTTGATAGACCTCGGTTGACAGAAATATATAGGAATAGGTTTTATCCTTTTAACTGGCACAAAAACTGACACCTTTATTCAAGGCAGCATGTTTGCAATAACCACAACACAAGCAGTCAAAATGCAAACAAAAAAGACAACTCTGATAATAATATGCACTGTCCTTGAATTTGATTGGTCCACACCCGAGACAGCTTTTCTTAAAGCCTAGTCTCCATTGGTGTTGGACCAGAAGACGCCAAAAGGCGTACTTATTATCAGAGTTGTCTTTTTTGTTTGCATTTTGACTGCTTGTGTTGTGGTTATTGCAAACATGATGCCTTGAATAAAGGTGTCAGTTTTTGTGCCAGTTAAAAGGGTAAAACCTATTCCTATATCTTGTTTATGGCAAAGGTCTCATAACGACAGAAATATGTTGAGCTTTTGGTGTGGAAAAGCTCATATCCCTACCCTACAACCACATATATACGGAGGAGTCAATGCATGAAGTATGCCACTCGTGGCATGCTGGTGTGTACCTGGATGAAGATGTTCCAAATTCGTTCCTCCGTGAAGCGCTCGTGTTTCTCCTTCAGAGCATTAAAGTGTTCTCCCAGTGGAGCTCCCTCAATAAGCTCCATCACAATGTACAGGCGGTCATCTACACACACAAACTCATGTCTAGTGACAATGCTGTTCATCTGTATCACTTCTTATATTAACCTAGAGATACTATTCGAAATGAAAATATCCTGGTATTAAACTTATCATGTAGTTTTCCCTCTGAAAACATCATGAAATAGAAACTGTTCTGAAAAGTGTCAGTTTACGTGTTTGGTGTTCTAAGAAGTGCTGGTATGGCCGCCTGTCATAAACTAGCTGATTTCAACCACTGCCCACAGATAATGCAGTCATATTAAAAACGTGCCGCTGCTACTGTTTGGGCAGCAATCTACGGTGATGAGTGAGAAAAGTTCGGAATGTGTTTCTGGTCACTTTTGTCCTGCAGTGTATTTAATACCAACAGTCAAATCTGTCTCACATTTGGTACATAGGCTTGGATCAATATTATTAAACCATCAATGTCCACACAAATTCGTAATTACTAACATTAAGGGTCAATGCAAAGGTTGTGTGCGTTGACTGACTCGTAGAGAAATGGGCTCTGTTCTCACAAGAACCACCACTGGTGTGTGGTGTGCAGTAGTGTTCAGCAGCTGAAACTCAAGGTGTTAGAGACACATTCTGTCACACACACAGTAAAGTATTGTATTATAGTGCTTATTTATCTTCTGACTTATTCTCAACGACACTAACGATTATCTTGTGATGTCCATTGTTTAGTTTTGCCTGCTACCATATCAGCCTTGAACAAGAGCTTTATAGCTCAATGGGCCTTCCCAAAATAAACTGTGTTATTGAACTAGGACCCATATCTAACAGAGAGTGTCTTCGCCTATTAACATATGGCAGTTCACCAGAATTGGCAAGCCTGACTCTGCTGATGAGACACCGAATGTCAAAACCGCGCCTGCAATTAGCACGATTGGCTACGTACGGTTCAAAATAAGTGCTACATACAAAACAAATCCAGCATTTCCTTGTGTTGAACCAATGCTGCTGAAATGATGCGCTCTCAGAAGACCGTGTAACTGATGTGTATATATCAGTTACATAAATAATTAAAAAAATCTCCATGTAAAATAAATTTTAATCTTTTTTTCCATAGGGGCAGATATGAGGAGGTGAATTGTCTGCTTGCTTATTTTATCACTTATATTCTCCACAATGACAAAAATGATTATTTTGTGTTATAGATTTTAGCTTAACCTGTTTTGTATCTGGGGAATAAATGTAACATGATATTCATGCGTACTTACCTTCCACAAATGTCTTGTAGTATTTTACAATGTTTGGGTGTTTGAGCTACAAAAACAGAGAATATAAACATTAGGTCTCCATCAAACAAGTTTCACATTATACAAAAACTAAAATATGTAAGATGCTCATCTGGTGCATATATATTCTAAAAGTCTACTCAGTGTTTAAGTAGTTTGCGTGAATTGACTTGTTAATGGCCCAAACACCTGTTGTTCCATTGCTTCAAACATGTCCTTGGGTGCTCTACGGTCTATTTCAATTTATGCTGATCTGTGGATTCTTTGAAAACTTCCATTGGTGTTTACTAGCACCTCCAATTAGCATGGTTGGCTACATACTGTGCGAAAGACGTGTGTCCTCGTCTGTTTACACACCGGTGCGATGATCACCCTCATTCCATTTTGATGTTTATGGAACTTAATGTTACTAAAAATGGTCTTTGAAAGCAATTTGTACAACCAAAATTTGCTACAGTCAATTTATGTTATTTTATATTAACTTATTTTGTGCAGAATACTCAATTTCTTCTTCAATTATTTTTTTGTATATTTAGTTTTCCTCATTTCTATTGGGTTGTGCTTGTTTTCATGTAATAGCTTTTGTCATATTGGTGACCCAGATCCCTCTTGGAAATGGAACTTTATCCTCGTCTCTTGAATTCTCACCTGGTTAAACAAAATACACTTGAAGCTAAAGCTACCTTCTATCACACAACTGGCTGCTTGGATGGCCTGTATGTCAAAGGACACTCGCCTCCAGTCTTTACCAGTGTGAGACGGTACCTTGGTGCGAGCACAGCGTAAGTAAAACAGTCGTCATACCTGCCATGTCTGAATATGTGGAGAAACTTGTTTTACAAATAAAATAAAGCAAGGGAGACAAAAACAGAGAGAAATAAAGCAAGAGAGACAGCTAACGAGACGGCTACATGGAGCTGCATGCAGCTACAAAACACACGGCCGTCTCCTGTGTGTCCGTGTGTATGCACTATGAGCCAACATGCTCTCGGTGATGCTGAAGGCCGCACATTTTATTTTTACAAAGTTTCAACTGCAAAGGTTTAAAGGTTTAATTCTGAAAATATTAACTCCTACAGACTACCAGAAGTATTAACATGTATGTGGAGAGCGGGGACCTGTTCACGAATGATGGAGAGTTCAGAGATGATGGAATTGAGGCTGGAGTCCCGCGTCGTCTTGTCCTTGCCGAACGCAGGGTTGTGCAGGCTCACCTCCTTTAGCGCAAGCAGCTGCTGACCATTCAGCTTCCTCACCTCCACGACATAAGACAGAGCCATGAACAATCATCGATACATGCCGTAGAGCTATGACTCTTTGTGTTCTGGCTGGTAAGGCACGAGAGCTATCGGTAAGACAGCTGGGAAGTGGCTAAGTCTGTGTTTAGAGGATAATGGTAAGCCAGTGGTTCTCAAACTTTTTGGCATGGCCGTCCCCCCATCAATACCACTGGTCTCCGTGTCCCCACCTCCCCCACGCCGACAAGGTTACCAAGGCCACACTATAGAGAGATCACGTCCTCACCTCTAGTTAATAGTGTTAATACGATGGGATTTGATTCATGGTGTGTATGAGTGTTTTGTCCGCAACGTGATGTTGACGTTTTTCACACAGATTTGAAATTACTTCTGCAGAGTATCCAGGCCTCAGCCTGTGTGCCCTATGTGTTGATAATTACCTAGGTGAGCACTCAGGATGGATCATGTTTGTAATCGAGTACCAGTTCTCACAGCAATCAATCCTAAGGCTCAGCGCAAAGAAACCTGGGACAATGCCAACGACCCTATCGCGCTCACAGAACGACCTTCCAGTTTTAATTTTACCACAATGGATCCGTGCTGAATCATTTAAGAATATCACATGGCAGATATGGCTATTTCCTACACTGATGGATGATAACGAATAACCCACAGTGCAACAGCAGTAACTAATCTCAAATAATGGACCACAGAGTAATGCAACTGCCCGCTTCCATCATTTAATTCTATGGGCCTCTCTGTAAGTCTACGAGTTTCGATGTAAGTCTATAGAACTCTCTGTAAGTATAACATTTCAAACCATGCACTACATAGTCCCACCACGTCCGGATATGATTATTTGCCAAGAGCATTTTGGATATTCATCATGAGGCTAGTCCTAAAGCTGTCCTCTGGCTCACTCGCAAACCTCCACATGAGCAAGTAAACACTACTGACCAGCCATAAGAGATTTTTTGGATTAGATCCCGTAAATATATAAATGCATCGTTAAAACCCGCCACCACCCGACACAGCCAAACTAGTAAGGGTTGTCATGTAAACCGAATATGCCAATCTTGAATTAAAGCTTTCGTGACTGCAGGAATCCATACTCTTTGGTTCTTTCGGTAAAGTCACGTAAGTAGAACATGCCAATTCGTCACTAGTACAGCACACCGGTGTGTTGGAGAGCCAAGCCACAACATTTACAATCTGAGTACGACGTTTCGCCAGTAATTACAACTAGCTTCATCAGGCGACAGCCAGATTTGTGGAGAAGTCTAACTGTTTCATTCCTTATATAGAGGCGTAGATGTGGTGACCACGCTTCTGCGATCTATTATGGATAATAATGGTCGCAAAAGCCTACATGTTAAACTGACTACTGATCAACTCCCCACTAAATTAAACAATAATAATGTGTTGGGAATTGAACCGGGACTGCTCGTGAGGAAACACCTTGTAGACACTGCCAAAGGCCCCACTGCCTAGGTGCTCCAGCACGGCATAGCCCCCCATCCGTTTCTCTGGCAGTCTGGTCTGGTCCATGCTCTCCACTGCCTCTTGGATCTCCTGCACCTCCTCTGGCTTCGGGAGCACATGCACACACATACGCATACACATAAACAAAAGACATTTTCCTCTGATAGCCTTAACAGACTGTTGGGGCAAGTCCTGTTCGTGAAGAAGGTTGCCACAGCACACAAGGGGGTTGGTGGTCAGCACGACACCTGACTACCTTTGTCTGCCCAGTAGCATTGTTTACACAATTGCATCAGGTACTTATTTAAGGCTGAGTCGACCTAGATGAGGTCCAGTATAGGTCCAGATAATCATCACTGGTTCATGGGACCTTTCTTTCCAGTATCAAAATATAATAGATTTTACCATTTATAATCATCAGTGGTGTTGGCAGTTAGCGGGAATCAAACTCGGGTCGCCAGGTTCGTAGCTCAGCGCAATATGTATATATGTTAAACTTCTTTCGAACCATACGTGGCCAACCGTGCGAATCGGAGGTACACTACCACTCCTCACTATGAACATAGACACAATCACACATACACAGATGTACACATGCACACACGAGGGTTGCCACCTTTTCAACAGACCATAACAAGATATATTTCTCAACCAATGTGGAAACCCTAATCTCTCATGTTATAATGAACTGAATGAAAAGCAGCCTCAGTGCTAAGCAGCAGCAGATAAGCGAGGAGTGTCATGCTAACCTTGAGTGCGTTGAGCCTCAAAACAAGGGGCTCGTAGGCCACAATATCTCGCACATAATGTCCCACGTCGATGAACATTTCAAAGAGCACTGCTGGGAAGAGCCTACACAACATTGACGTAATTATTAGTATTTAAACACAATTGCTGAGCACAGGCCCAAAACATTAAGCGGCCAACAACAACTAGCACAAGCAAAGTTAGGCAATAAAAGTTAACACATTTATTGAATTCAGCAATGTTATTATAAGACTTTGGGAAGAGAGCCAATGAGAGGAATTTCCAAAGTGGAGCAGGGCAAAGGAAGAAAGCAAAGTGTTTTTACCACGGTGTGGTGGTTGAACAGAGTATGGATGAGACCAAAAAGTCTGGTAGACCATGTCCTCAACGTGGGTGGAGGAATCAATGAGTGGGGTTCACAGGAACAGAAACTAGGATAGTAGCAATAGTATAGTGATAAGGAGGCGACTGACTGCCGGTAAGCGAGTGACTGACGCCAATCAGTGAAAGCTGGGTCATCAATCAACCTGACTGTTTTATGGTGAATTATATCACGTACAGTCAGATAGGAACTGGGTGCATACTCTTTGGTTCTATTCGTGACTTTACCGAATAGAACCAAAGAGTATGGATCCTTGCAGTCACGAAAGCTTTAAATCTAGAAAGGAACTGGGTGCTCGACCTCAAATATGACAACAGGATTACAACTTCAGCCAAATATGTGCTTTGTCTAGCAGTAATGATTGTTTGTAATAAAAGAAAACTTCATCACAAAATATACTTGGAAAGAAATTATGCTGTCAATATGCGTTACATCTGTATGAAATTAAAGGTGCACACATTTTCATAAAGGATATTGTAATTAAACTTGGTTCGAAGCTTTCGTGACTGCAGGAATTAATGTTTGATTTTTTCGGTAAAGTCAAGTATAAATAAGAATTAATAAAATAACATAACAGCATACGACGTTTCGGTTGCAACACAAGCAGCCATCATCAGGTACAGAAGAGCTAAATTTACGAGAGAGGGGAAACACATAACCCCAGATGTATACACAGACAAACAAGTAGGGGGAACTAACACCGACACAATAGGGGACACAGAGAGAGAAGCATACCAAACAGACAGAGTTTAGCAGAATTTGGAAACCATATAACGCAACACAGACGGTCGGTCAAAACACAATTAACGCATAGCCTGGTTGATTACGTTATTTCAAAGATTGCTAAATTGCAAGTTAAGTATGAAATTTAAGATACAGACGGCACACACACACATAGACATTCAAGTAGAGCGGACCAGCACAGGTACAAGCACACAGTGAAGTCACCTTAAATAGGCAGAGAAGGCAAGGCTGAGAGACAATGGGACATATTAGCATGAGAAGGCAAGGCTGAGAGACAATGGGACATTTTAGCATGAGGTATGCATAGAGCAAAGTGGAGCACGGCAGCAAACATTCGGAAGCACCAAGACCTACACACAGGCAGAGACAGCACAGAGAAACAAATCCAAACACAGACACAAAGGCAGATACACAAGCAGAGACAACACACAGACAACACAAGACAACACAAAGACTTCTGATGCTAATATTGTAATTACCAAATGTATTCACACGGTATTCCTGGATATGTGTTGACAACTGGTCAAGGTAATGTGCCATGTGCCCTACCTCTTGAATAGATGCCTATTTCGCTCCATGCTGAAGAGGAACCGCAGGGCCCTGAAGGCATAACGCTGCACACAGTTTGCAGATCACATTCCAAACTTATAGAACTACCAAAAATATCCGTTTTTGTTAGAACACAAGATATGAACATTGCATTCAAGCTGGTGCTGACTCATTACCACAACATTAATATCACACCTGGTCAGGTGGCTCAGCAGGAGAGAGAGCGGCTCGTAATGGGAAGGTTGCGAGTTCAATTCCTGGACGGAGGTTGACTGCCCATCGTTCCTCCAGGATTGATACAATGATCACCACTTTATGGGGAAGTCAAAAGGATTTATCCCATAGATAGATTCACCAAGGCTATAGAAATTTTGAATTTCCACCACTGGCTCACAGCTTCAAACGGATGATGATCAGAGCACATGTGCCATGATGGTGTGTTATGAAGGGCCACTGTGCAAAACTTTACCTATTATACTTATATTTTTCCTTAAAGGCCAAAGTGTTATTGACGAATTTGTTGCTTTTTTGTTGTCTATAGGCCCTGCTTAGAGCCACCATGAACATGGGGCATATCAATGTTCAAATGGTGCCTGTAATCTTTGGGTGATGATCCTGAAATTTAAATTAAAAAGTAAGATAGAGACGTTACCTGTAAGACATCCCTATTGTGTGTGCTGCGGGTGGGGTTGGGGAGCAGCAGAGTGCCGATGATGTACACCCCGTTAGCCTGAGGGTGGAGCAGACTGCACGTTACTCGGCAGTGAAGTGCGTTCACATTTATAGATTTAACTTCTTTTACTGTAAATACGCACTCATTACAATGCAATTTACAACATGCGTGGTTACCTGCAACGTGGCTCACCTGCACAACCTGCTGTGCATTGCTGTCGTTGAGCACCAGCTCGGTAAGGGCGGTACAACACGCTGCAAAAGCAATTGACGGTGGGTAAATGTGAGGCCCACTCGTGATGCCCGCATCCTGCGGAACAAGGGCAACTGTGGCAGGTTTTTTTTTTGTTTTTTACACCGTTGCTTAGTGCAGGCCCAAAGGCCCAAAACATCAAGCGGCCAGCAACAAGCAGCACGAGCAAAGTTGTAATGGATCAGAGTTAACACGTGTCTTGAATTGAGAAGGGTTATAAGAGCTTGGGAAAAGAGACAATGAGGTGGGAACTCCCAAGTGGAAAAGTGCGAGGGAAGAAGCGGTGAGAGAAGTGTTGTGACCTGCGGTGTGATGAGACGAAAGTCTGGTAGACTGAGTCCTCAACATAGGTGAAAAAATTAATACATAACTTCACAGAAACAGTAACCACAGTTGTAGCGATAGTAGAGAGATCAGGGGGCAACTAACCACCAGCGGGGCAGTGACTGGAGTGAATCAGTAAGTACTGTATCATCAATTAACTTGACTGCTTTACCATGAATTCTATCAAGTGCAGTCCAATAGAAATTGGATACTCTTCCCCAGATATGACAACAGAATTCCAATTTTGGCCACGTTCAAGTTCTAGTTTATCTTGTTTAACCATCTGAGAACTCAAGTTACCATGATTGTCTCATTTACCAAAGTGACCTGGGTAACCAAAATTATAAATTCAATCACATAAAAACATGAACAACCATAAAGCAAACAAAAATCAGTGCAAAAACTACATCACAAAACAAAGAGAAAGTGGTGCACAGACATTAATCAATGCTAAGTTAAATACATTTAATGCTATATTCTTGGTTCTTTCGGTAAAGTCACATAGAAGGGAAACAATAAAATAATAAAAATATAAAACAATACAATTATCACGACGTTTCGACTGCAACACAAGCAATCATCATCAGGTGTGAAAACCACAGCAAGAAAATTTGAAAAAAGTGGCGGTTATTTTTAACGTTAATGTTTCCCTTCTAAGTGACTTTACCGAAAGAACCAAGCATATCAATCCCTGCAGTCACGAAAGCTTTAAATCAAAACATTTAATGCTGTCAAAGTTTAAGAATTAACAACACACAAAGATGAGTATTTCATGTACAATAGCCCCCAGCCTTATCCACACCATAACATGCAATACACATCTCTGTGTGTTGTTAAATCTGATTGTTTTCTGGTCTGCACTGATTGTTTTGTTGTGATGGGTTGGTTTTATCATCATTTGCAGATTGAATTTGCAAAAGTTGTTTCAGATAGATTACTTTAAAAAAACATTCATTGAAAAATTAAGTAACAAGAACATCAAAATAGGTTTAGGGTTATTATTGTACGAGTATTTAAACCAGTATGTAAACAGGTGTGTGTGTGCGCGTGCATGCGTGCCAGCCTGCAGGGAGGTGAGGCCATCCTGGATTTCCGCGGGGCTCAGTTCTTCCGAAAGCGGGAGCTGCCGCAGTCGGCCAGCTGCATTGGCGCTTGACAGGCCCCCAAAGGAAGTGCGGTCTGACACAAACCGACGCTCACGGTCCCTGGGGTGCACACAGCATGTCGCCAATCACTGTCTCCTTCAAATTACAGCATCAGTTTACAAGCAAACTATCGATCTATTCTCACTGTCATCAGTGGGATTGATAGTGCTATTGCCAGGCCTCAATCTCTCGCCAAATATTTTTCACTTGTCTACTGAAACCGGGAAGTCGCGTGTAACTATTAGCCACAGACATACAGAAAAGTCTACTAGAGGTGGTGTGCCAGGTAATTAAATATTTTCTGGGTCGTTGACACATGCAGCCAACACTCAGAAAAATCAAATACTTTCTATAATTAACACAAAGGTGTGCAAATCATACATGCAACGTGGCGATCACATGGCAATCATGCTAGGAGTCACTGTATCCACTGGCGGAGCCAGTGGGGGGGGGGGGGGGGTGGCACGTGCCCCCCCCCAATGATCCGATCGAAATCCCTAATTTCGATCGGATCATTGGGTTTATCTATATATAAAAGGGAAATTTGTGAATGTGTGTCTGTTCAAAATGTTTAGCATACTTCCTGAAATGCAACAAACTTGAAATTTGCCATGTGGGTACTTTCCAGACTGTACACCATGCAAAAATTATAAAAATAGACTTTTGTATTTGGTGGGCGGGGGGGGGGGGGCGCAATAATGCATATATTTTGCACGGCAAGTGAGCTGTGACGTCACATCTGTCATGTGACCCGTATGCGGAAGCGTAACGGAGTGTGCCTGCTGATGTCACCCCCCCCCCCCCAACCCTCCGCGGGTAAAGTGAAATACAAATGTGTTGCAGATCTAAGGCGTTCTTCGCGCAACATTGGTTTATTATTTGAGTCGTTTACTACCGTACGCACCCTGAAAGTTGTGTGTCTGCAGCAAGCGCGTGTATGTGTACCTATGGACGCGCGCACGCATGTGTGTGTGTGGGGGGAGCGGTAGTGCAGTGGTTAGCGCGCTGCGCTACGAACCCAGCGACTCGAATTCAATTCCCGCTCATGGCCACCACCGGTGACGATTATTTGAACCGGTCCTGGGCCTCCCCTAGGTCGACTCAGCCCCAAACTAGTAAATGGTGTGGTGTGTGAACATCGCCACTTGGGAGACAAAGGCGGCTGGACGTGGTGAATCCAAGTCCCGGGCGAAGCCGGGTAGTAGAGCTAGTCTATATATATATAAAAGGGAAATTTGTGAATGTGTCTTTTCAAAATGTTTAGCATACTTCCCAACATGCAACAAACTTGAAATTTGACATGTGGGTAGCTTCCAGACTGTACACAATGCAAAGAGTATCAAAATAGACTTTTGTATTTGGGGGGGGGACGGTGACGTCACATCTGTGATGGCACCCGCATGCCTTACACAGTGTGCCTGCTGGCGTCACGCATCCCCCCCCACCCTCCGCATAGGCCGTGTATTAATCCAAGACAAAAATACAAGTCTCGGGCGAAGCCGAGTAGTAAAACTAGTTAGTAAACTGGCATTTTGCGACCCCCACTTCCACTGTGTAGCATATTATTATGTGCCAGGATAAAACAATAGTCTGAGTCCATAATTGGCAATAAGTAACGGCAAAGTAGTTATAAGTGACTCACAGAATTGTGCGCAGTTGCATACACAGTCCACGACTTCCCTGAAGGCATACCTGCAGCGAGCGTGATGCCAATCACACACGGTTCGAATTCGACCCTCGATTGATGGCTGCGCCATCGCCATACATGCGTCGAATAAAAGCAAGGGACAAGTCCTCACTTACTAACAACTCCTATCATTTTTCATTGCTGGAGGGGTTGCCCCCCCGACCTGAAAATCCTGGTTCCGCCATTGACTGTATCATCTCATTCATACTCTGTTCAGCCACCGCAGTGCAGGTCAAACACTTCTTTTTCTGCTTCTTCCCTCATACAGCTCGCGCCTTTGGAATTCCAACCCATAGCCTTTTATAAACATGCTCAATTAAATAAACGAATTAACTCTTACCTATTACAACTTATATTGTGCTATTTGTTGCTGGCTACTTGACTTTTGGGGCCTATTCTCAGCAACTGTATTTATAATTCAAAAAATGGAATAAACATATCGAAGTTGTGCCTTCCTGCTATTTGTGAGCACACCTCTGTGCGTTGTTAAATCAAGTCAGACAAATCCAGATGAAAGCTGGCCCTGGTCATTGGTGTGATTAAGACTAATTGGATGACACTGCATCTTCCAGCCAGAAGACCTCACCCCTGTAGCAGCCGCAGAAGCTGAGTGACACCCCCCCAGCGCCGAATGTCCTCGAGCATGGCCTGGTCCTCGCACAAGTGCACGAGAGCCCACACGGCGCTCGCGAGCAGGCGCAGGTGCTCGCCCTGCAGGAGGCTCAACAGCACCGGCACTCCACCCAACACCCGCATCTGATGCCACACAGGGCGTTCCTGGCACAGCTGCCGCAGTAGGTCCACAGCTAACCTGCACAGAGAGAGACACGGGCCCGCCAGTGTGACTGCCTACGTGCACCTAGAGCAGTCTCAGAATGCACAATGTTTCATACACAAACTCTCTCAATCAATGGGCTCTTATCTGGTCATGAATGCCAGTTTATAGCTGGAGCAAGTGTGTCTGTTGTGCCAGCAAGAAAGGTGCGCATATTCCAGCTCACCGCTGGGATAGGAGATCATAGTCCTGCAGAACAGGCAGGAGATTCTCCACCACAGCTAGCTCCGCCAGCTTCCTACGGCACGCCGCACTGGAGCCCAACAACACCAGAATCACTGACAAACCCAGTTCTCGGTGACAGTAACCATGGCAAATAAGCAGACGGTGATACTGATGACAGAAGATGATGGCAACGAGTAGTAACATGGCCCAGCGGTCGCATGTTCACCACTTGTTGCAGAAGTTGGTGGTTGGAATAAGCCAGTCTGCCATGGTTAATTCTGCAGGTTTTTTAACCATATAATATATGGCCAATCTACATGACAATGGACGTAAAAAATTCCTTGACAAAATTAGAAAAATAGTAGGGCAGTGTGTTGGCATCATGGTCCAAATTTTCCAAAGATCAAAAAACATGAATCACAAATTACTTCATTGGGAAACACATCGCTATTGTCACCCGCTACTGCGAACTTATGAGGACCCTCTTAAAAAATAGTATTGGCACTCATTGAGGCTTTCCTTGGTAAACAAGTGTAATAATAAGTAATAATACCAACAGTGAGGATGATATCGATATAATTATTGGTGGTAGTTGGTGTTGTTTGTAGTAGTGGAGAAGTGGAATGTTGTGTCACTCCACCTTTCAGCCAGACTGTTGAGTGCCAGCAGTGAACCCAGCAGCACACTGGACTCCCTGGCAGCTGTCAGAATCACCAATGTCTGCAGAGTCATTGCATAACAAATACAGGATGCGCTAAGGAGCTGGATTTTTATAATTTCTGTCAATCCAGTGTGAGGCCAAGGAAAACAGTGACCACAATTTAACGGAATAGCTGGGGCTGTCAGGAGTCAACCTACCTTGTGTGCCCCAGATTCTGTGACCCATTCCCTCTGCTCCACCACTCCAGCGAGCTTTTGGAAGATATCTGCGGCAAAAACACCAGCACAAAAAGCACAGCTGCCTTGCTCGCCCTAATCTCTATGCAATCTTTCCCTTTACTGGATGACAAATTAAACTTGAATATTTATACATTCACAAACATATTTGAATACATTACTATTACTAGCTCGTGACACACCTGCTTATTATGAATGCATGTAATGAAAAGTAGTAAACTGTAAAAATGCATCCCTGCAATCGCTTGCTCACGCCACTGCTGGCGGAAGATTCTCTGTTCGAGCGAGGGTATTTGGTCTACTCCACCATGTTGACCAGATGAGTTGGAAGAGGTGTGCGTATCCACATTGTACTTCAACAAGCAACCTGCCAAACGACGGTACAGTATCCACTTGTACTGCTGCGTGGACACAGATGGGGAGATTTGAGAAATGTGCCCAAATTGTTTCAACAACCGCACTAGAAGATGGAATCGAATTGGCGATCTTTGGATTGCAAGTCAATTGTGTTAACCATCACACCTCGGCACTCCTCTAATATTGATTGGAATTTAATCAACATGGACATTTTTCATATATCTAGAGTATCCATGGATGGTTCTTTCACATCCAACGTGTGTTAATGATATAAATAACTATGACTTCAATGATGATGACAAAGACACAGATGTAGAATTAAAATCACTGAAATATGTCTTGTTTGCAATAAATCTCTGGATGCACTATCTACCAATCGCACTTAAAATAATGTATTTCTCAATGCTCAACCACAGTTGGCCATGAGCCATTTACTGCTATATGTATGCTGAACTCCTTTCATACCCTATGTAGCCAACCATGCTAATAGGAGGTGCGGGGAAAGGACAAGAAACTAAACACAAAAAGCAGTTCTAAAGAAATTAGTTTTCAATCTAGATTTGAAAGGAATAGCGTTCCAGACAGCCGAAGAAGTGCATCTGAAAACACGCGATACAGTGACCGTCTTTGTTCGATAGATATCTAAAAGTCGTTGCAAGGATGACCAGAATTCGCGTGATGGTGAACATTCACACACAATCGAATGACTGTGCATGTTTAAAAAAGAAAGCGATAAGTGGCTTGAGCTCACCATTATGTAAACAGCTGTGCCCTTAAACACTGTACACTGCATTTTCCACAAAGCAAGCATTTTATAAAATACAGAACAATACGCAGTTTTAACACAGAAAAAGCAAGTGGCAGTTGCAGGAAGTGACTCCAATATAACTTGAATAAACACGTCATTTTGCTGGTTGACATACTGGGCTCACTCACTGGTGAGATTGACAAGGACGTCCTCTGCAAACTTCTCCTCTTCGTAACACAAGTGCCGCTGTGCCACCTCGTCCATATACTTCCAGTTGCCACACCAGACATACGTCAATATTAGCGCGATTAGTCTGTAGCTTTCCTCTCACGTAAATCGGTGAGATGCACTGGTAATGTCCGCAGGTCATTGTTTACACACCCCATACCCACAATGAGACCCAACAGCTCCCTGCACACTTCATTAACCATTGATGCAACACACTTTGACATTTGAACGGTTTATTGAAATAGCTGGTGTCTGCATTTATAGCATTTGATAAACTTAGTCAACCAAATGAGGACAACTAACATCCCCAAGCAGAACATTAAGGTTAAAACCTTTTGCAATACTACCCATGATTTGATGGCCTCTCTAAAGATTGAATAACTGAATTTCCAGCGTCATAAGCTGTACTTTGAACTTACCATTGCTAAGCCAGACACCCCTCCCATATCGTACAGCACCCTCTGCAAAGAAAACAGCACACCATAAGAATCCTTTCTGGTTATTCTGGTTTAATTCCTGTCATATCAACAAACTAGAAAATACTGCCACTATTGGAGCCACTATTATTTATAAAGCCACAATGAACAGTTCTCAGTCTCGCTGTTATTACATTTCAAAGAACAGTGAATTGGCAATACTGTACATTGAAAAAGAGCTTCTTAGCTCAATGAGCCTCACCAGAAATCAACTAAACTGTTTGTTGAGAAGTAGAGTTGGCAGAGCCTTGCTTCCCTGCTTGTAGAATGTATTGTAGTTGTTTTTTTGTGAACTTAGCAATGCCAACGTTAGTTTAGTTTACACAAAAAAGCCCCAATGTGTGGGTCAAATATAACATGAAGGTATGCAGTGGGCCTAATGGGTACATGAACCAGCCAGGTGGCTCAGTAAGAGACAGTGGCATGCAATTGGAAGGTTGCATGTTCAAATCCTAGTTGGGGTTTGACTCAGCCCATGTTTCTGGGGTTGAAAAATAAGTACACTTTGTATGGAATTCAGCAATGGTTGTTCTCTCCCCTATCATAAGAATGTGGAATTTCCACCACTGGCTCGAGGCTATAAACAAGAGATGAGCACCGCCTCAGTGTTCGTTTGATCAATAAATCACTGACTTTGAATAAAGGGTATTACAGAACTCAAAACAGACTACATTCAGAGTGTATTGGTGTAGAGGACCTGGTAAGAAAAGTCCCGCATGAAGAGGCGGAGGCAGATGAGCACAGGTAGAATATTGGCCAGCGGCGCCCGGTCTCTCCACTGTCTGTAATAACACACCGCAGCTATCACGAGCCATGGCTGTGCTTACTTCGGAACTCCGTACCTAGACACCATGAATAGGATTACCTCATCGCAACTACTTTAATATATTTTCGTGAGAATTTATTCTTAAAACTTTCCAACTAAAGTTGGAAGTGCTCATCCATTAGCTCTCTACGTCTGTCTGACTGGCTGTCTGTAGAGGGGGGCACGATAACGCTTGTAAAGATGGCCCAATATAAAGAAAACATTAGTATAAAGTTGTGTTGCTATTAGGGGTTTACCTGATAGAAAACTGGCCAAATCGATCCAAAGGTTTTCCAAAACCTAGACGAAATCCAGAGCTAAAAGGATTCAAATACCTAGTGACAAAAGAAAGTGCACGCCTCCCCCACCAGTTCTCCCCTCCCGGTCATGTCATTGGGTGACGTAATCTCACAACATCATGCACCATGTAACATTTTGTAGTGCGGCTGGAAACGCAATATTATTGCTAATGAAATACTTCCAAGGAGAATCGCATGCTGTAAAGTATTACAGGAACCATGCCTATGCATGATATTTCTTCCTTGTTTATATTAATGCAAACGTGTGTGTGTGTAAACTGCACAATGAGCAGGCATACTGATCCAGGCATTGGTTCTCATGGCACCGAGCCTGGCACACTAATGCGGCCACTCCTGCGTGAATTATATATGCGCAGGTGAGATTCAGAGTGAGAGAGTAAGAACTTGAGCCTACACAGGCTCTTTTACAATGTCGATGTGGTTGAGATGGCCATAAAAGTAAAATGGTGAGATAATACAAGCAGGCAAGGGATTTCAGATATAACAGATGTACGTTGTAACTAACAATATCAAAAGAAAACAAGCTAATATATAATGACAATAATTAAAAGTCAAATGGATTTTAAATAACAGGAATTTACCAGAAGTGAAGTCAACTAATTCACATAGCAAAATCATAAGAAAAAGAGTTATACTGGGTCTGCAGGCTCAAGTTAATTCTTACAGCAACATCTATATTCAAGCAGCTTCTAGGTCAGAGAATTGAAGGTGTGGAAAGTCATTAAGTCGTTTGGATTTAGAGACCAAGATATTTTTACAATTCTAGAGCAAAGCAACCAAATTATTACCCCCTCTAGGATTGAGGATTGTTTAGGGGCGGTGCAGAGAAGTGTAGATTGTCAGCAGATTTTCTTATGTTGGGGAAAGGAGAGAAGCATTAATTCAGGTTGAAGGAATGTATGCCTCAATAACATTTGTAGATGAATACAAATAAATGTGTGTCCCTTCTGGCAGATAAGGGGATGCAATTATTTTTTTTAAATCAGCTGGCAATTATGCAGCCTGTGAGGTATGTCGAGCATAATGTCGATTGATGAATGGCAGATGGGGTTCAGTTTGGATAGGATGGTGTTAGAAGTGACACAATTACAGATGACAGTGTGTCACTGTGTGTAGGACAGTGTTATTGCTGTGCCTGCATAGAAGCCGCTGTGTGATGAGAGCAGTGAGAATCTCCAGGAAGCGGCTGTGCTCATGTAGAGAGCTAAATGCCCGCTCATTCTTGTACTTGGAACTGAAAGGACAATGCACAATCACCCTCACAATGAAACCCACAAATTTCACACTCATTATACAACTCACAACCATCTCGCTCACAATGGTAATCACGGTCATCACGTTCACAATGAAATTCACAATCATCATGCTCATGGTGCAAAAACCTCAACATTCGCTCACAATGAAAAGCACAACTATGTCACTCACAATTAATAAATTAGAAGAACAATTCATCCATACAATCCTATAACAAAATATCACTCAGATTCATGTTGCACATTTCCCTTAAACAATTTGTATGATTTGTGCATCCTTTTGTGAATATACAATATGGATAATTCATTACAGACCGCGTGTAACGGACTGTGAGTAGATTTATAATTACAGTACCTGAAAGCTTCCAACTGCAGAGCCTCGGTCGACTGGAAACGAGCATCTCTCCTCCCCTTCCCCACACGGCTGGAAGCTCCCATACTGCCCAGTGCTGGAAGCTGCACATAAAATTACATTCAAACACGTAGGATTATTAATTCCAATTATTATTGTTACAACTTATGAAAGCCTCACTGTGACTCAACTCTTTTTTCAGGAGGGTTCTGCAATGTGTTTGCAGTAGGGGGTGACAATTACCGTTTCCCAATCAAGTAATTTGCAAAACATTTCTCTAATTTGGCAAAATTGGACCATCACGCTGGAGCACTCTCCTTTGAATGACATCATGGGATCTTTAACATGTATTTTATAGTTAATACACACGCAGTATTAACCAGGGCGGCCTGCCGAATTCACACGGAGAACCTCTGCAACAAGCAGTACCCAATGGCCAAAAGGTACCTGCGATTTGATGGCTCATATATATGGCTATTGTGGTTATGCTGGTCTCAATGGAGAGCAGTTTGTTCCACAATTTGTTTCCTTTGTTAAAGATACATTGGGTCCACAGTTGAGGTCTTGTATATTAAGGTCATGTTAGGAGTTGGTTATAGTTCAGGGGAATGTGTTGTATGCGCAGAGGGAAAAAAGGATAAGCACCTGCTGTTTGCTGGCCGGGGTATTCAACAAATCCAGCAGCCGCCCCAGGACATCCACATCCCTTGAAGACAAACATATTGGATGTGTTGTGATATTTGCTTACACATTCCCCTTCAATTCTGGTGGGTTTGGTTGGCAATAATGATGACAATAAAGATAACAATTACTTGAAAGTGGATCCTTCTTTTTCCTTGTTGTTCCTGCCCTGGTCAGACATGACGTGGTTGAGTGCTTTGCTGCCCAGAGACCATTATTTCTGCAACAAATACATATAAGGAAAAGAACGAAGCCAAATCCCACATACGGCACCCACCACAGTGCCGACGGGACCTCAATTTGATACACGTTGAATAAGAGTAAATATCAGTGCAGAGTAAAATCAACATTAAACACATTACTGTATGGAGAGCAGGAAATAAACAGAACCAGGGTAAACTGCCAGCACTAGGGGGTAAGAGGCCAGTTTAACAAGGTAGACAGGCAGACGTTGTGAGGCAGGTAAACTGGTACCCATACGGGCAGGCAGGTAGTAAGGTAAACATGTATAGAGGCAGATAGGCGAATAGATAGACAGGGGGACGGGTAAACAGGCAGCTAAGTAGGCAGCCATGTATTCAGGTAAGCAAGTTGACAAGTGTAAAATGTAGACAGCCAAACGCGATAACATGTAGACAGAATCAGAATCTTTATTTATCCTGGAGAAATCCGATTGGCTATGAATCTCATTTTCACAGATGCCCAGGAGGGGTAGGTCAGGTTACAATGAACAGTACAAAAAGCGAAAGGAGTGTAAAGTATAGGCAATGTGAGAAAATCACAAAAGAATGTTAACTCTACTTTTTAGTGTATTTTACCAGGTAAAATCGAGTAGGGCAAAGATGAGGCTGCGCTTTGCTACACGTACCGGGCGTTGCCGTGGACAAGTTCTGCAGGTCTTCAGAGTACAGGAGCTGCCCACAATGCGTGATAAGTTAGGATAGTGTAGTAGTCCCACTAGTGTAATTTAATAACGATGACAGTAATCGCAATAATCGTAACAAAGTTAAAATAATAAACTCCTTAAACGCCGCGCGAGCTGAACCAGCGGCGCTCGCTCGCTCTGACCAATCACAGGACACCTTACTGTACACGCCTCGTGGCGGAACCAATGGGATCGCGCGTATCCATCACTAAGACGCTTGTTGCTAGGGAAGCTGTCTTGATTGGTCGGCCGTGACGTCACGCGCGTGGAAACCATGGAGACGGGGACGCCGCGGCCTGGCGCCGTCGTAAAGCCTGAGTTGCCTCGAACATCAAACGGCCATGGTCAATTCACTACTGGATGAAGGCCTCCCCCTTCACCACCTTTCGTGATCCTGCGATGCAATATTTCCACGTGAAGGTTCACATTCACGTATTTAATCGGTCCATCGCTTCAGTGACCGTCGTCTTGGGCGCGTTCAATTTGGTCTACAACTGCATGCATAACTACACACCTCCGCTACTATGCCCTCTATACCCTGGACTATGCACTACACCCTACCCTCGGCATCTGACGTTCTAATCTACACCCTACTCCAGGGGAAGGAACCTCGGGCCGGCGAGGCGGTTACGTCTACTTCGTTTAAGGCAACACGTAGCCTCATGAGGCCTACAATTTAGAAACGAAATTCATCAGTCACTGCAGATATCTTAGCCGCACGAATCGTGTGCTAGTGTTGGAATATGCTCGACCAGGTCGCAGTGTTTTTAGTTGTAACACGCTTCGTCACTTCTCTCGCTGCAAGGGGAACCTTCGCAGTGACCGACGAGTAAATGTGGCTCGCCAGAAGTTGTTTTAAAAGTCCTATCCGGCGCTTGGTAAAAGGTTCACTCACCCCAGGTCTACACCTGCACTCTTGTATAAAATATCAAGAGTTGTGCAATGGACGATACAAAATATAGTTTCGTTAAGAAAAAAACAGTAACGGCAAGTTTAACAGTTTATTTCCGACAGCCTTGCGGACCACCCTTGGCCCATGCACCACTGATCCTTCCTTCATATTTGCTCGCATTACAGCTCCGACACTGCCACTTGCAGCCCCACATACATGGACATCGGCAATGGACACCGAGCACCCCAATCGGGCCCGAGAGCATTTATCAGTGCCTATAACGTGCGTTGTGCAGCTGAATGTAGAAATAATGCCACATGCTCATAACTTAGCCCTCAAAATATAAAAATGTATTGTCACAAAATGGCAAGTTAACACATTGACAACTTAGGATTTTAGGTATGTAAACATTATTGCTTGATATGTATGCAGCGAGTGTAATTCAGCATTCCTGCAGTTGAATTTATTTCTCAATAATCTGTAAATTTGTTAAATATATCTCATTAGGTCATGTTTTCTTGATGAAAATAAAGTTTTCCATTTATATTTTTAAAAAAACCTACACCCGTTAGACTTATCCAGCTGGTACATTAAAACCCGCATGCATGAGAAGCTCTCCATCCCACAGTACAAAGGTGAGTTTTCTTGACGAAAACAATGTTCCCAATTTATAAAAAAAAATCCACACCAGTTAGGATAAGCCAGCTGGTACATCCAAATCTGCATGCATGAGCAGTTCTCCATCCCACAATACAAATGTGGGTGTGAGTGGCGTGGAGAACTTAGCCTTGATTTGATTAATCAGGCGTGGTGGAGACTCTGGCAAGACCAAGCCTAGCGAGCCGGCCTCCAGATCAAGCAGCAGACCGATACGCTCCTGTTGCCCTATGCTATCGATGAGTGGCTCTGCGTGACCAGCATTCAGTGCTGTCCAGTGGCCGCTTGGAGAGAAGGAGAAGGCCCACGAGTGAGGGGCATCACCCGGACAGAGGTCCCGTGTCACGGCTGGGTCCGCTACCCCCACACGGAAGTCCGATGATCCTTTAACTGTGACCTTCATTATGCACACAACATGGGTGGGAAGGAAAACATGGTAAGTGCACCAGCCAAGAGCACACACATTGCTCAATTTGTCAATTTTTCAAATCTCTGTGTTATGAAGTCATGCTGCAGTCTTATCAAATTATCTCTACCCCACACAGGATCAAAATGAAAATATCCAAAGCCAAACTTACAAACCAAATCAAGTCATATAATGTCCTACTCCACACTGATTGTAACATTTGCAGACTACTATAAGCATTTTCAATAAAATTTTGATTTAAAGCTTTCGTGACTGCAGTAATTCATATTCTTAGCTCTTTCGGTAAAGTCACATTGAAGGGAAGCAATAAAATAATAAAATATATATAAAACAATAAAAATTCTCACGACGTTTCGACCATAACACAAACGGTCGTCATCAGGTGTGTCGGTTTGCATAATTTATGCATAAATGTATGCATAAAATTTAATCTATGCATAAATTTACGCATAAAGTTTATGCATAAAATTTAATTTATGCATACATTTATGCATAAATTAAATTTTATGCATAAATTTATGCAAAAAAATTGCAAACCGACACATCTGATGACGACCGTTTGTGTTATGGTCGAAACGTGAGAATTTTTATTGTTTAATATATATTTTATTATTTTATTGTTTCCCTTCAACGTGACTTTACCGAAAGAGCTAAGAACATTTTCAATTAGTGTAGCGTGAACGAGCGTTCATTACTACATACCGATAAGCACAATGTCTGATGCTTGAAAAATGTGGCGAGGATGATGCTATTTATCCATCATGTCAAAATACTTTTTAAGGAAGCTCCTGAATTAAATATTTATCCGATATTTCAGGAGTTTCACAAATGTTTGTGATCCACCAAGCATTTTATTTCAGGTTTTTGCCCCCACAATGTACGATTAACTAAAGATGAGACCAAGCATATTTTCAGTAATTATAATGATCTTTACCCAGAACATCTTTGCTGTCTCAGAACGTCTTCAAGAGAATTTACTACTATAATGAGCCAAGCATATCTGTGTGTCCCGCACGTGCCGTCGCTCCACGTCAGCCAGCAACCCTCATACTGGTAGGAACGAAGTTGTAAACTAAGTGTACCAGCCTGCAATAGATTAATGCATCCGTCCGTCCGTCCCCTTTCAATACTTTAACGAAGTGAAATCGCGTGCTGTTGGGTGTAAAAAAAATTCCAATGTTCCTACCAGCCCACCCTGCAAGGACCTGTTTAATAATCATTAAGAGGTGACGCCTTTCAAATGGACACCCCCCACCCCGCGGCCTTACAAATTGCACACGAATTGATGCAATGAATTTCACGTCGCGGTCTGCTTTTCGCTTGCAAGTTTCAGATTTACTGAAATACACCGGTCCTTGGACGGGCAAAAGGCTAGTGTAAGTATGTTTGGGCAATTCAACTAATGAGTCGCACATGGGAGGAAACCAGAGTGCCCAGAGAAAGTAGAGTATTTGAGGAAAAGCACTCCACAGCGAGATTCAATCATCTATTGTTTGTTGAACTTTTTTCACACCGTACGTAGCTAATCGGAGGTGCGGGGATGGTCAAATATTGCTGTAATGTCATCCCCGGACCACTGCTGAGCCCAAGCCCTACAAATCCTGGGGTTAGATAAAAAAAACGTAGTTACTAAATCCCCAAATCTACACGTATTGAAATCAGTCAATTAGAGATTGTCAAGTGTTGTATGCAACCCATTGGCATTCCCATCCAAGTACTAACCAGTGTCGACGCCGCTATGTATCCGAGATTTAAAAAATTGGGCGAATTCAGGGATGACTTTGTCGTTGCCAGACACGTGCTTCCCAAAGTGTCTCTGTGGCCACGAATGGTGTCAGTGTCACTCTGTGAGTGGTGGTGACCTTTACCTCCCAGTAGTGGCGGCCAGAGGAAATGGTCGCGTCGCCCATGACCGCGGCCCAGTCGACAAAGCGAGCCGGGCTGGCGGGCAGCTTGCTGGAGTCGAGGCCAATCACACGGTTCACGACGCTGATGCCATCGGGTGACACCTCCAGGGCGCAGTGCGCGGTCTCCTCCCGCAGCCTGAAGCTCAGCCCTGTGGGCCATGATCATTTCAAACTGGTAATGAGTACCTTCCCGGTATTGCTCACTCTCGAAGAGGGAGAGCGACTCAAGAGGGAAGGTGAGCCACACGGTGAGCCAGCACCTACAATTGTCCTCTGTATATTAAGTATTTTCGATCAATTGATAAGTGTTTAAATGTGGGAGGAAACCAGAGCACCCAGAGAAAACCCATGCACAAGATAGGACATTCTCTTCCGTATAGGCGGAGCGGGTGGAGTCCACGTTTTTGCACTGCCTTCTAGCGCGCCAGAGTATGGCTCCTCCGCGACACCCACAGGGAGTATCACAATTGTGCGGTGATCCACCAACCCTCGCCGCCTGCACAGTGGTGGACAGGCGTGTGGCAACTAATGAGCTTTTGCACGCGTATCCCCCAACCTGGGTCCACGCGGCCACCCCTGTCGGCCACACGTCTAGTAGCCATGGCGCAGCAAACATGGCTAAGTCAACGGCAGGGTTGCACACAACATAACGTTAACATGGCCCTTAAACAGTCGTATCAATGGAAAGTTATTTCCCACAACATGGTTTAGGGCTTCCTTTTATCCTGGTCTAGGCCTCGGCAAGGTAAGGTAATTTACCCTTTTACCGGGTAAAAGGGTAAAGGTGTCGACATGCCAAGGGGTAGGGTAAAGTATTACCCTGTAAATACCTTGGTTACCGCTCGCTAAAAGCTCCGTGGCGCAGTCCGTGGCCTCCATTTAAAATTAAAATCATCGGGAGTATTCTATATGAATAAAGTGCTCTACCTTTTTCATGTGTAGTAGTACCCCAGTAATTACCCTGTAATCGGGTAATTTGTATAGGGTATGGGATAAGGGTAAAAGGGAGGGTAAAGGTAGGCATGTTGTTTTTTACCTGACCTTCTTACCTTGCTAAAGGGTAAAGGGTAGAGTGATTGTATTGTGGTAAGGTAAAAGGGAGGGTAAAGGTAGTCTCGTTGTTTTTACCTTACCTTGCCGAGGCCTACCTGGTCTGATATCTCGGCATCCGCCACGCCCAATACACCTCTCGCGATGACTGGCTACTGTAGTTGACGACGTGCTACTCACTCCAGCCTATTAGCGACCCTGGGCAGAGTAAGAAATAAAGCTCTGACGGTGGCCACGCATGGGTAACAACTGCCGCATAAAGTGGCAGCCACACACATCACCATTGATAGCCCGTCCTGGCAACAAGGCGACTTCACACCACCACCCGCCTGGCTGAAGAGGGTCACAGCAACCCGAGGTCATAATGGTCAACGCCCTCATTGCTGGGCCCAGGGTTCGTGATCAGAGGGTTCGGGGAGAGAGGGGCCCAAAGTCTCTTACATCGTCTCGACGTAGCCGTCAGAGCTCGGCAGGCGAAGGCCCCGACCCGCAGTGAGCGCCGGGACAAGAAGACCGCCATAGAGACCCCGGGGGTAAAACGAAACGAGGCCGGGCTTGAGAAGCCGAGAACGGAGCTGTAACGCAGGAACACGAATCTCAGTGCCCTCTAGCGGCCATCCTCGGTGTTGCCATAACTTTAGAAAATAAAAGTCGCCGAACGATCCTCAAAAACGATCCTCAAGAAAGTCACCAGATGTCGCGACAGACGGTCCCAATGTCAAAAACGTCATCATGGGTTTTACCATGGGAATTACCAAGTATTATTACACGTCAACGGATGTACTCCTATATATATAAATCCAGTCAAAGTGATTTCTCCCATGTGCAGCCCAGAGCCAGTGCTGGGAATGTCACGTTCCTATGAAAGGGGCGAGTCTAACCATAGGTAACCGATTCTGACTTATCAATAAAATTGTACTCATTTTATCGACCCTAGGGGAATGATGGGCTGAGTCGACTCCCAATCTAGATTTGAACTTGCAAACTTCCGATTGGGAGCCGCTTGATCGATCGCTGAGCCACCCGGCCGGATACAAGATAATTGCCCACCTATTAAACACACCTGGAATTGCTCCTCCATCTGCAAAATGTCCTCATCTCATAACATCGAAATTTGTCGCTGGTCAAGTCGCCAGTCCGCGCAACGAAATCGTTGCTCATCCAGCAATGGATTGACAAAGGGCTTTCAGGCTGCAACAAACACTGTAGAATACAGCAACAGGAGAAATAGACACTCATCCTTGTTTAAACATCAACTGCTTCCTTCCTCGTGCTCAGAGATCTTTATTAAGCAAAGCATTAACACCAGGTTTCAAGGGCGTAATTCTGGTAAATATGGTGAGCATGTAGGCCTTTATGCCTTGCAGGTGAACATATTTCATAATGGGAAGTATAAATCATTAATTTAAATGTGCTTTAACACAAACACAATCAGTTTCCATGCGAGTAGCAAGATTATGTTCAAAGCGACCAAGGTAGGTCGCAGGGTAGAGGGGCTGGTGACTCTCTGAATGAATGGACAATTCAGATCCTGAACTCTCGGGAGAAGGGCACTCCTCATGCCCGTAGCGGCCACATACCATTGGGCCCACGTGACCGGAAACTGCTTTTCTTGGGTCTCAAATCTCTAAACTGGTAGTTCCCAACTTGTGGTCCGTAGATAGGGTTGCCACCTATCCAGGTGTCCAGGTTTGATCTGTAGGCCAGGATTGACCTGAACAGTCTACACACTGGCATCTGTATTCGGGTGGCAGGAACTGATTTCTACAACGTATGCTGCAGAGTTTTTATAGACCGCGAGTAAGAAATATAACCCAAAAACCTTTACTATGAATAATATATGTCGCGTAAGCCTACGTGTTAAAAATAAATATAATCTTTTGTTTTATATCTCGTTGTTCATGAACATTGCATCTCACAATGCTGAGGAACCAGACAAGCCGGAAGGCAGCCAGGTGGTGCACTTGCACAAACAACAATTGGCCAAGGCCTGCAGTTCTTTATATATTAAATTTTCAGAAAATTCATGAGTTATACATTCGGGAGGACATCGGAGCATCAGGAGAAATCCCACAAATGTGAGGGGGCTATCCCATACAGAAGGTACAAGTCCGGACTTGGCCGTACCGCATTCTCCTGTCGAGCCAGGGCATGGCACCTCGACAGTCACGAGAAGGGACTTTCGAAATATTTGTGCGAACAATAAATCCCAAATCCAGGGAATACATTCAGTTGTGGTCTGTCAAAAAAGTGGCAACTCTGTCATGGGACATGATCTGTTGAGCTGACGCAGGTGCAATTATATTCACCAAAAAATTTACAGGTGTTTTTGAGGCTCGGCATAAAGGGTCACACCAAACAACTTCCTGTACGAACAACTAGCGCATTACACTCCGTAGGCTACAACATGGAGGAGACGGATGTGTCAATCTCGAGGCCGCCTGGGCGTTTGCCCTTGCGAGTCTTCGCCCTCCAAGCGGCGAGCCCCACCCCCAAGCAGAGGGTGGCCGTCAACACCAGCGTCAGCCCAAATAGCGTCCAGAGTGCCACCTCCCCGTCCTCTGCTGACAGCGAGAGCCCGAGGAAGTGCAGAGGCTTGGTGGTGTCTGGCTCAGCTGTGGAGACAGCACGTGACCCTCTGTGTTTGAATTATATCACACAGCTATGCACATCATTTAAAGCAGCCAATACTGAAGTACAACTGTTTCCTTCGAATATCTTTAAATATCTTCAAAAGGTAGGGGGGCTTCTTTCGCTGTTTCTTGAATGCCACACCTGATCACATAATGGGCGAGGGCCAGAAATGAGTCCGTGAAAATGCAACAGGTCTCTCTTCAATGAGATACCAAACACATCGCCGTCAAATCATCACTATCAAAGGTAGTTAAAAAACACATTGTTCTTTATAATACATTTTGTATTTGTTGTCGTCATTGTTATTACATTTACCTTTTTCCTCCCTAGGTTCACTCGTACCAGGAACGTAACCCCATTCATCCAATTGGAACACGTTTTTTTGCATTCGTGAATTCTGCATTCGTGAGTGTTTTCAAGAACCTGACCCTTGTAGATAGAGAGGGTTAACTGTCTATAACTAACAAAATAAATAAACAAACATTAAATTCACCTTCACACATACTGTATATGTCCCTCCGAATAACAGTATTAAAGTATTTTTACACTTCCCATCAGCCACAGTCTACTGATGAGACACCGAGTTTGCTTGTGTTGCAACAATGCTGCTTAAATAATGTTCAATGAAAAATGTTGCCCTGTGATCAATTAGATCTCAAAGTGAACAATCGCACGCTTCTCCTGAACAGATGTGACTGCCATTATCCAATCCGGGTTGCCTTTCATTGTGCGTTTGCAGAGTGTCTGGGTGACCTACTCAGGAATAGGCAGGGGTCCGGCTTGCTGGGTTCGGGGAATCCGTTGCAGCGAATGATGGTGGCGAGGTCTTGCACGGACTGCTTGGGAACGCGCGCCAGGGCCGGGTCGTCGCGCGCCACCGAGTACAGTCCCCAGCGCCGCGTGAAGCCGTCCTCCCACGAGAAGCCGTCCAGCAGCGACCACGCAAAATAGGCGCTCACGTTGAGGCCATCCAGGGATATGGCTGGGGAGGGGAGACATTCACCATACACATCAGGATGTCAACGTAGCCAAAGGCGTTTATGCCACCGCACCTTGAACGTCTTCTGCCGCTGCTGCACAGTCAACATGCAGGCTCCAAGATCTGCCCTGACAGTCTCCCACCATCTGCCCTTAGGTCTTTTCTTCCCCTCGGTTACCAGACTCGTAAAGACTGCTCCAATGTCTCTGCAACTGGCCCTCCCCCATCCTGCACACACGTTCAACCCCAGCACAGGCATTTTTGCCAAAGCATATCCGTAATATTTATCTGCCTTGTTCTGTCTGGACTTGTGCATTGCTTATCCTACCTTGCCACGAAATTCCCCAGCATTCGTCTCAGACTCCTGTGCTCAAATGCCAGCGAACTCTTTTCGACATGACACAGGAACGGGGTCAAATACTTGTTATTATGAATTAAAATCCCATTGAGAATGACTCTGCTCAAGCTGCACCCAGGCAGTTTACACGTGGCACTCCGAGCCACCATCGCTGAGATGATGATACCGATGCTTTCTGAGATTCACGGTGCCGCAGTGATTGAGCGCAGCGATCGCGTGCGAGGGTGGTGAGAAGCCAGTGCAGGTGCGCGTGGCTAGGCTTGTGGGGGAAAGGGGCCACGCGCGAGATACCCTTGAGCAACTCGTTGATGTACTGCGAGTGGTACAGCATCCGCGAGGTGTCGTTCAGGTCCTCGTCGCTGAGCTGCGGGGCTCCGTTCCCCAGCACCTGGACGTCGCCCGCGTCGGGGTAACGCGCCGCCACGTGGCCCAGGGCATGGCGGAGGCCCCAAGGGACGGCACGCACCTCGTGCGAGCCCGTGCCACGCCACGTCCAGTCGGGCACGGCCTCCGCGTCGCGGTCGCGCAGGTAGCTGGGCTCTGCAAGGCAAAGGCAACACAAGTCAGGGACCACCCGTGGCTGCTGCGATTCGCAAGAGACATGTGCCTGCGCAATGCTCATCTGCCGGTAAGAACCTGCAAGTACAGACGATGACTGCACACTCGCCCACCCTACCAATCCGACTGGCCAGGATGGTCCACAATCAGAAGTTGTGAGTTCAGAACCTTACTGGGGTGGAGGGTGGTGGACTCAGGTCCATTTTGTGGGGAAGTCCACAGTGATTGTCCTATGGATAGACTTGCCCCATCATAAATAAGCACATCAATGCTCACTTGATTAGGAAAACACGAACTTCTGGCCAATTTAAGCACGAGGCTTCTGATTTTAAATCCTTTTACCACTTGCTAATCTTTAAAAAAATCTATAATAAAGTGGAGTGATTAGCTTTCGTGGTGATAGGTCAGCGCACTGAACTCGCAATCCAGAGGTCGCCGGTTCGAGTCCATCTCCCGGCACGGCGGTTGAAACAATGGGGCGAGTTCTTAAGTCTCTCAATTGCCTCTGTCACCCAGCAGCATGAACAGGTACAGCACACAAGTCTTGTGTGGTGGTGGAATCAAGTCTGGGTACGTTGACCTCTTCTAACACGTCTGGTCAGCATGGAAGAGTAGGCCAAACACCCTCTAGTGCTCCCTCGAGTGAAGGACCCACACAGTGGTGGCGTGAGCGAGTGATCGCAGGACCACACTGTCATGTTTTGTGATTAGCTCTGAAAATCAGTCGGAGGAAAAAGGGTTTAACGATCGGCAGCTGACCGCTTAAGCCGGGAGAGTCGTCCAGTTTGTGAACAAGGGGGTGAGGAAGCAAACCCAGGTCACACCAGGTGGGGCGTCGCTGGCCGGCCAGCGCTGGGGCAGCACGCGCCGCGTTGTCGTGTGCACTATGGCGAGGAAGTCGCTCGTGCCCCGGAGGAGGGCGCTGTCTTCTGTGCTGAGTGGAGGCAGCCGAGCAGGATCCACGGTACTCAGCATGGACGGGGGCCAGTGCCCCAGGAACACGGGGTCTCCAAACCTGTCCGACAAAACACAGCCGCTCAGCATCCCAGCCCAACTGGACCTCACATCACCGTGGCCACGCATACAAAGCTACACTCAAACACCGAGGAATCACGGGTTCACGGTTCAAATCTGGCAAGCCATCCTGGTTAGCATTGAAAATCATCACTAGATCTCAGTACAGTTGTATTTCTGCCACCAAAACAAAGATGCCAAATCCCAAACTGTCCAGGTCAAACCCAGGGATATGGCCACGCTAGAGTTTGGCCAACTTCAGAAACAGTAACAGCAACAACAGCACGACAGAGCTGCGGTGATGAAAGCACATCGAAGCGCGCACACAGACGCACCACCCGAGTGTGAAGTCGAGGTACCGCTGCACCGCCTCCACGTCCCCCGTCCGCCCAGGGTCCAGCGGCTCCACCCAGTCAGCGCTCAGTGCCAGCGCTATGCGGCCACCTTGCTTGGCCCGGAAGTTTGCGTCGTACTCATGCCACGCCAGGGCATGCGCGCGCAGCAGGTTGCGCGCCACGACGTACGGCGCCCGGCCCGGATCGACGTGAAGGCCTGGGGCGTGCTTGCCATTACCATGGCCGAGCCACGCCACGGACAGGGGGTCGCTGATGGTCACCCATGTGTGCACGCGGTCGCCAAATAGTTGGAAGCACCATGACGCGTACGCCCTGAAGTGCTCCACCACCTGCAACCATGCGGGGGGTGCGCCTCCGTGAGCGACGGTGCTGGGCAGACACTACCTGCGATCTGTCACTGCACCACTCCTCTATTAAACAAGTTTTGAATTTGGGATCGTAACATCACTTTCCAAACTGCAGAACAAGATGACGACCTGTGGGGCATGACTCGTGATGGCAACACATGGTCACACATGTGGCACATGACATCATCACCTCGGCCGAGAATGTTGATCCACTTAGAGATGAACTTGTCGTCGAGTTTTGGGCAACCCGCTGATCAATATGGCCATTTTTTTCCTCAGGGTGAATTCTGAATAGCCACACATATTTAAATGAAATTTCATTGTTTGCTTTTCTTGCATCACCTTCAGGAACATTATCACGAACCCATGTTGCAGACTGACAGACAGACGGACACGGAGAACTGAGATGCACAAACGTGTTAGGAGTAGGCACCGCACGCATTACCGTGTCATTCTCCCAGCCTCCCACATCCTGCAGCGCCTGGGGCAGGTCCCAGTGGTAGAGCGTAACGGCGGGCCGCACACCGGCCTGCACGAGGGCGTCCAGCAGGCGGTTGTAATAGGCCACGCCGGGCTCGTTGAGGCCCCCGGGCACCGTGCCATCGGGCAGCAGGCGGGGCCACGACAGCGAGAAGAGGTAGGTGCCCGCGCCGAGCGCCCGCACCGCTTTCACATCCTGCGCAAACAGTTGGTAGCTGTTGCATGCCACGCGGCCCGTGGCCATCCCCGCCACATTGCCGGGCCGTGTCGTGAAGCTGTCCCAGATACTCGGGCCTTTGCCATCTGCATTCCAGCCACCCTCAACCTGTGGGAATGCCCAAACACATACAAAGATCCCCCGTATAACAGACTTCTGGGCAAGTGCTGTTAGCGAGCACCTATGAACCCAGCATGGCACACGAGGAGGTGGGTGGCCAGCTCCACGCCCGGCCATTTATGTCTGCCGAGTGGCGATGTTAACTCATCATACCAGGTACTAATTTTAGGCTAAGTCGACCTGATGTCTAGTTGTGGGAAGTGCCGGCCAGCGTGGCCTACATTCGCACATTTGCACCACCGCAAACACGGGCACATTAATGAACACGCGGCCGGCGGAGCGGGGTTCACCGCAGACCTGGTACGCAGCGGTGGCAACGCCCCACTGGAAGCCGGCGGGGAAGCGCCCGTGTAGCGTCACCAGCGGCCTGGCCGCTGACCCCGGAAAGCCGTTGTCGTGCGCCAGCTTGCGCAGGGCACCGACCGAGCGCTTGGGGGTGCGCGCTCGCTCGGGGTCTGAGAAGTTAACGTAATGCAGCCCGAAGCGCTCAGTGAAGCCGTTGGTCCACTCGAAGTTGTCCATGAGGGTCCACGCTGTGTAGCCCCGCACGCGCACATGGTCCAGGTGCAGCGCTGAGCAGAGGCGGAGCGGGTCGGTGGGGGGGTAAGAGGAACATGGGGCGTGGGGCGCATGTGCGTCACGAGTGAATCCGAACAAGCGTCAACCCAGCTCCAGGGTTCACACGATGCTGACCCTGTTGCGTGACGTTCAGGCCGTGCTCTCGTTGGTTCACGCTAGCTAGAGTCTGGAAACGATCCCTGACTCCATCCCAAAATAAGCTGAAAATTCGTCTCCTTCACATATCTGTCCCACGAGATTTTAAAAATAAGAATTTATTACATGTTTCACAAACCACAGTCTTCTTTGGGTGAATAATTTCAGGAGCAGTGGTTCAACACGAACTCTGGATGTGTTTCGATATTCATTGACTCACCAGCAGTTGGATGCTAAACTGCCAGATGTTCTTAAGCATGGGTCGTAGCTTGACGCAAAACTATTTAACACAACACAAAATAATAATCAACATCGTTGTAGACCTTAACCCACTGGCATGGACATGTGTCTCCGGAGAACCCATCATCAGTCTCCAGCGATCGCATCCTTCTAGAGGCCCTACCTTTAAACACCTCGTTGACATAGGTGTGGTGGTAGAAGATTCGCTCAGCATCATCAAGGCCGTCTTCCTCGTGATCGGACCAGCCGTTCTCCGTGACCCACACCTCGGGGCCACCATACTCACGATCAATAAAATTCAGCAACCGCCTGCATAACACACCCATAACCATCCGCCTTATCATCATCACCACCTCTACCACCAACAACACCGCTATCACTATCATCTTCATCACCACCATGACTATCACCATTACCACCACAATCACCAATCAACACCAGGATCGTGATTATAACCACATCCAATTAGGCGACGCTCCATTTTGTCCATGTTGTTCAGGCCTAGGTGTCGCCCCACCTCATGCCCCAGGGCACGGAGCGGTGCCACCCAGCTGCAGCCGTGGGCCAATCGGGATCCATCTCCACGTTCACCTCCATGTCCGCATCGTACCCCACGCGGAGCTCCGAGCGCCGAGCCGGCCACACCAGTCGCGTCGAGTATGAGTTGATGGAGAAAAAGTCCGATGTGCCTGCCGCCACACGCAGAGTAACACAGCGTGCGCCAGCGCCGACGTGAGACCGAGACTCGCTGCACTGTCACTTGGCTGCTTTCTCAAGACACAGAAACAATGCTCGAGGTTGCCAACTGTCCCGGGCAGTCTGGGAATTGGCACCTGTGTTCAGGTAGCAGGAACCGATTTGTACCAAGATCGAGTAATGGTATTGGTGTGTTAATACAGTAAATTGTGCAGTTTTTATCGACCTAGGTTGCCTGGAAAATATATCCAGGTTTGGTTGACTGTGGATACAGTGATGACCCGAGTTCCATTCTGGAGAGACCACTTGTGACGATTCCACACTTGTGCATGGTGACCTGGTGGCATGACCCGCCAAACCCCATTGGACCGGGGGATGGACTCAGCCACTAAAGCAAGAGGGGCCCTGCTGACCAGTCGCTTCAATTCCCCTTCACCATGGAGGTAAGGCCAGGCCATTGCCCCCTCTTAGCTGGTATGATTTGCGATGTGTATTTGATCAGGATTAGAGGTTTGCCTTCCCAGAGTGCGTTTTATTCAACCAAGCCAACTCGTCAAGTGGTCCGATTGGACGGGACGAGCGACCCCGCGCGTCACCTTGCACATAGGCCTGCTCCTCCGGCGTGAAGCTGGGCAGGCGCGAGGGCTCGGGACGGTCGCGGTCGGCGATGAGGTCAGCCATGACGCGGGGGTAGCCGCCGCCACGCCCGTAGATGGGGTGCGCAAACCAGCCCAGGGAGAACTGCACGTAGCGCTCGGCGGCGTCGACGTGCGTGCGGTTGGAGGGGTCGCGCGGCTCGGCCCAGTGCGTGTTGAGCACGATGGACACGCGGCCACCCTGCGCCGCGCGGTAGGCCCCATCGTACACGTGCCATGCACGCGCGTGCGCCCGCAGCACGTTGTGCGTCACGACGTAGGGGCTCCTGAGGGGCTCGTACACGCCGGGCGCCGTCACACCTGCGGACACGGCAGCACCTTCTGTCACAAAGCCCTGGGTTGAACAAGTCATTAACTACCTCTCCTTGCAGATCTATCTAACAGTGCGACTCTAGTGTCCCAATGCCTCATGCAGGAGAACTCGACGCGGCTCTCCCCCCACAGTAGAAGATGACTGCCTCACTGGGCCCCTATCTATGCGCGTACACTATTAGATGCCTCCTCTTCACTCAACAGCTGTCGATTTACTGCAACAGTAACTCTGCTCTCCGGTCACAAGATCATCCTAACAGTGTTGCTGTCCCTGGAGTAAAAACCCAAACAGGCTCAACTCTCACTCAGACACAGAGCTGCCTCAACGTGGAAAGATCTCACGGACACTCAAGCACGCCGCCAGTCTCAACTCAATATTCGTTTGAATCTCCCTTGCACAACAATCATGTGTAAGTTATCTCACGGACACTCAAGCACGCCGCCAGTCTCAACTCAATATTCGTTTGAAACTCCCTTGCACAACAATCATGTGTAAGTTATAGATGTAAAATGCGTGTGTATATGCATCATTACGTGTGTTTCCTGTGTGTATGTCACTTTACACTCTGGAGTCCCTTGAGATGGAGCTCATTCCATCTCAAGGGCCGGCCACACGCGCATGGCGATGGCCGTCGGCGTGGCGGTGGAGACGCACCCAACCCGTTGGAGAGCCAGGCTGTGTTGTAGGGCTCGTTGAACGTGAACCAGAATTTCACGCGGTCGCCAAATGTCGCAAAGCAGAATTCTGCATAAGCCACGTACGCCGCGATTGTGCTGTCATTGACCCAGCCGCCAGTATCCTGCAGAGCCTGCACAAGCACACGGGCCGGGGGAAAGGAAGATGACGGTGGCCACTGCAGCTACAGGCAGTCAAGGCGCGAGCAGGGGAGTGAGTGGGAGCATGAGTTAGTGGGTGAGAGAGTGAGTGAATGGGTAGGTGAGTGAGTGCGTGCTTGAGTGAATGCTTGGGTTTGAGAGTGGCTTAGCGTTCCGAGTGGTCACCTGCGGGAGGTCCCAGTGGAAGAGTGTCACCATAGGTTGGATCCCGGCCGACGTGAGGTTGTTGATGAGGTCATTGTAATAGCGAACGCCTGGCTCGTTGGGCCCGGAGGACAGGCGGGGGTCGCCTTTGGGGAAGATGCGTGACCATGAGATAGAGAAGCGATAGTAAGAGAGGCCGATCCCATTGAGTATCACCATGTCCTGTGGGTGGCAAAAGCATTGTGCTGTCAGTGCCACCAGCCGCCTAAACACCGTTGACAGACCAGCTCTTGAACATAAACTTTTGTTGTTTTCCCCTAAAACGCCACCCTGATCACGCTATCGGCGTTGTGCCACGAGATGAGGAATTTGTTCGAAATTCTCGCAGAGCAATTGCGCCCTCGCTTCATATTCGAGAACACTGCGGAAGTGGATATCACAGAGCTACCTCTGAGATCTCTACAAGTGACCTGTGGTCCACAAACAGCAGAGAGCAGCACTTTTACACGTGAGAATGAGCCTAAATTTGACAGTGAAAACTATATTTTATTTCTCAGAGCTGCTCCATCTCCTCCTCTGGTGTGCTCGTGAAAACCACTGCCAGTGTTACAAAGTGAGGCTCTTTTGCAGTTGAAACCAAGACATGCCCTAGCAGCGAGTCCAGCACTTCCACGTTTCTAGTATCCTGGGAGAAATTGCAGCAGTAATGAACACTCGTCATTGAGGGGGTTGGTCAAACATCCCAAGAAAGGACCACAGAGCTTGAGCATTCTTTGGTGGCGCCGGTGCTGGCTGCCTTCCCGCTCGCCTGTGGATTCCTGCGCCTCCGTAAGGAACCTTGCGCTGCGCGTCACAAGTCCCGCGGCAGAGTTCTGAGATGCGATTGGCGTCAATAAGGACACAATATGCAAACGAAGAAGAATCTCATGACCGTGTAATAATCGCGAACGATGGCACGAGTGAGCAGCCAGCAGGGGGCACCTGCGCAATGCGGTGATAGGAGTCGCAGGTCACGTCACCCGTGCCCCCCCCAAACACGGGCCGCGTGTGCACAAAGTGATCCCACACCGACTCGCCCTTCCCGTCCGCATTCCAACCACCTGCACACGGGGGGCGCGGGGGGGACATGGGGGCACAGCAGCTCAGGTTTTGCGAGGCAGCCGCGTGACATTGGCTGAGATCGTTTTCAGCGACAATGAGGAGTTGCCGTTTCTCTACGATAGCTCCACCTGGGTTGTTTTTGCTTTGATTTCTATTTGCTTCATTGATGTCCTTGTTTCTAAGTGATTGCTTTTGTCATTGTGATGGTCCAGGTCACTCTTGCAAATGAAACTCCTATCCAGGTCTCTTGAGTTCTCCACCGCCACGGAGCTGGTCAGCGCCAGCTCCGTTCTCCGTCACGCAGCGGCGGTTGCCAGCGGCCTGGGTTATCGGCTGAGCAGGCCCACGCTCCACAAGGCGAAACTTGCGTCTCAAGGGTTTGCAGTTAAGAAACACATTACACTCCGATTCATTAAAACTCTGACGCTGGTGCTGTTTGTTGCTGGCCACTTGATGTTTTGGGCCTGTGCTTAGCTGCCAAGTTTAAAATAGATAAACATACACGTGTGTGAGATGCACACAGACGCACGTGTGTGAGATGCACAGACGCACGTGTGTGCGATGCACACAGACGCACGTGTGTGTGAGATGCACACAGACGCAGGTGTGTGAGATGCACACAGACGCACGCGATGCACGCACCTTCTATTTGGTATGCGGCCGTAGATGTGCTCCATCCAAACCCCGCGGGGAAGGCCCCACTCACAAACTCATCACGCTGCAGCGCCGACTGGTTGTGGAAGATGTCCCACACGTCCCTGCCAGCCTGGGCCCAGACCAGAACGGGGCCCAGCATCCCAGCCAGGACCCACAGCAGAGGGGCCGGGGAGGGCCACCGCATTTCTCCTTGCAGCTCGTGTCCTCCCACCGAGGGCCCTGAGTACACACGTGTGGCCTCTTCTCTCGTCCGCCGCCGCCACCAGAGGAATCGTGCATCCACGCACGAGCTGGGAACCTGGCTCAGTGTGTGTGGCACTCTCTATCCGTGCACCCTGAGGGAATCGTTCTATAAGAGGTAACCTCGGTTCTAAAGAACACCCAACTTATCTCAAAAACACTGCTGACTTTGATAAGCCATCTAATAAAACAGCGGGAGATAAAAACGGAATGGAGATAAGGGTTACGATCTGCCCTTTACACCAGCGATAGGCTTGGCCACAAGCAAACCGAGTCGGCATTCACTCTGCATGCCCTGGGACCTCCCGGTACATTACCCTGCTTGGGGTGAAGGTTTGCTGCTCGGAGGGTGATGGGAGGAGCTTGGTGACTGTCAGCCCGAGCCCACATCTCTTACTTACAGTGTCAAAGAAAAAGTTGTGAACCCCAATGATAATCATGGAAATTGCATAGTTTTACCATGATAGCATTCCTGAATCAAAACCGATCTTTCTTAAATATCTAATTGGGTTCATATTAACCGATTTCATGTGCTTTGAAACAAAATGATGTATGAATTAAACTTAAGGTTCTGGGTGGGTTTAAAATAAGTGAAACCCTGGTTTCATTAGATCAATTAAGGGAATAATTAGAATCAGGTGTTTAAATAATTATGTAGATCTTCGGGGATGAGTTTGGGAGGCCCCGCCCTATATAGATAAGAAACTTTGTGGGTTTGGTCTTCACCATACAGGTGTATGGAAACAAGTCATGCCACAATCAAAATAAATATCTGAGGACCTCAGGAAGAGTTATTGATGCTCATCAGTCCAGAAAGGGTTACAAACCCATTTCTATGGATTTGGGGCTCCAGATGACGCCTAAAGGCGTACAACTCAAAGACAATGCCAGTTTGTTGCGTCATCTGGTCCAACACCATGTGAGACGAGGCTCTAAGGAAAGCTGTCTCGGGTGTGGACCAATCAATTTCAAGGACAGTGCATACATTATAAGTTATGTTTTTTGTTTGCATTCTGACCGCAGGTATTGTAGTCAATGCAAAAATGACTCCTTGTCAAAAAGGTGTCAGTTTGTTGCCAGATAAAAGGGTAAAAAAACAATGATCATATTTTGCTACTGGCAAAGGAGGTTCCAATGGTGTAAAAGAATGGTCTTCATGGAAGGATATTGAGGAGAAAACTGCTCTCCAAAAAGAACATGGTTGCCCGTTTGAAGTTCGCCAAACAGCACATAGATGATCCACAAGACTTGTGGCACAATGTTCTCTCCATAGACGATTCAAAGGTAGAACTTTTTGGCCTCAATCAGAAACGCTACGATTGGAAAAAAACAAACACTGCTTTTGAACGGAAAAACCTCATTCCAACCATCAAGCATGGTGGTGGGAATGTAATGGTTTGGGGCTGCTTTTATGCCTCAGGAACTGTACGGATTTTCATCATTGACACAACCATGAATTATTATTTTATTTTATACCTACATGACTTTACCGAAAGAACTAAAGAGTATGAATTATGCAATTTAACAAGTAGGCTTTCGCGACCAATATCATCCATAATAAAGGTTTTTTGGGTTAAATCGCGTAAATGTGTTGTTAAAACCCGCCACCACCCGACACAGCATACTAGTAAGGGTTGTCACATAACCCTTATGCGAGCCCTTTGACAAGTTCAAAGGGCTCGCATAATGCACATGCATAATGTACGTTGCCTCAGTAACCCCACCCCACATTGTGCAAGAGCGCAGAAGGGTGGTCAACACATCTACGCCTCTATATAAGGAACGAAACAGTAAGAATTCTCCACAAATCTGGCTGTCGCCTGAAGCTAGTTGTAATTACTGGCGAAACGTCATACTCAGTTTGTAAATTTTGTGGCTTGGCTCTCCAACACACCGGTGTGCTGTACTAGTGACGAATTGGCACGTTCTGTTTACGTGACAACCCTTACTAGTTGGCTGTGTCGGGTGGTGACGGGTTTTAACGACACATTTATATATTTACCAAAAAAACCTCTATTATGCATGAATTATGCATTGTATCAGAAGATTCTAGTGAATGTCAGGCCATCCCTCCGTGAGCTGAAGCTGAACCGAAGGTGGGTCTTTAAGCAAGACAATGATCCTGAAAATACAAGCAATCTACAAAATAATGGCTGTAGAAGAAGAAATTCCGCATTTTACAATGGCCAAGTCAAAGTCCGGATCTAAACCCCATTGACATGTTGTGGCAGGTCCTGAAGCGAGCTGTCTATGCAAGGCAACCCTCAAATGTTACCGAATTGAAAGATTTTTGTAAGGAGGAATGAGCCAAAATTCCTCAAATCCGATGTGATAGACTAATGGTTACAGGAAACACTTAGTTGCAGTCATTGCTGCTCAAGGGGGTGTCACCAGTTACTAAATCTAAAGGTTCACATACTTTTTAACACGTGGTTATTGAATATAGAATCATATATAAAAGGTAAATTTGTGAATATTTGTCTGTTCGAAATGTTTAGCATACTTCCCCACATGCAACAAACTTAAAATTTGTCATGTGGGTAGTTTCCAGACTGTACACAATGCAAAACGTATAAAAATAGACTTTTATATATTTGGGGGGGGGGGGCGCAATAATGGATACCTCCATATATATAAAAGCAAAGTTGTGATTGTGTGTCTTTTAAAAATGTTTAGCGTACTTCCCGACATGCAACAAACTTGAAATTTGCCATGTGGGTACTTTCCAGACTGTACACCATGCAAAAATGATAAAAATAGACTTTTGTATTTTGGGTGGGTGGGGGAGGCGCGCAATAATGCATATATTTTGCACGGCAAGTGAGCTGTGGCGTCACATCTGTCATGTGACCCGTATGCGGAAGCGTAACGGAGTGTGCCTGCTCATGTCACCCCCCCCCAACTCTCCGCGGGTAAAGTGAAATACAAATGTGTTGCAGGTCTAAGGCGTTCTTCGTGCAGCATTGCTTTATTATTTGAGTCGTTTACTGCCGTACACACCCTGAAAGTTGTGTCTGCAGCAAGCGCGTGTATGTGTACCTATGGACATGCGCGCATGTGTGTGGGGGGAGCGGTAGTGTAGTGGTTAGCGTGCTGCGCTACGAACCCGGCGACCCGAGTTAGATTCCTGCTGACGGCCACCACCGGTGACGATTATTTGAACCGGTCCTGGGCCTCCCTTCAGTTTAGTTTCAGTTTATTTATTTTGGTATAGCCCTGTGAGCCATTCGAGTAACTGGTGTGGTGTGTGAACATCGCCACTGGGGAGACAAAGGCGGCCGGGCGTGGTAAATCCAAGTCCCAGGCGAAGCCGGGTAGTAAAGCTAGTCTTTATATATAAAAGGGAAATTTGTGAATGTGTATCTGTTCGAAATGTTTAGCATACTTCCCAACATGCAACAAACTTGAAAATTGGCATGTGGGCAGCTTCCAGACTGTACACAATTCAAAAAGTATAAAAAAGTACTTTTGTATTTTGGGGAGGGGGGAAATGACCATGAAGTGTGTGGCGTCACCCCGCATCGAGGACTGGCGAGAATCGATATCTGGTGAGCGTTTGTGGTATCGATGAAACGGGAATCGGCCGATTTTAAAGAAATCTACAACCTTAGATTTCTTTGCGCGATTTAAAGAGTCGAATCTTGACGCGCGAGCGGAAGTGTTTTTTCCACCGTGCGTTGGGTTTTATTTTATTTTTAATTAATGAGGTAATGATAAAAGTTTTCTTTTCATTTGTATATGTTATGTTGTATCATGTTTTGTGTCATTTTTGAAAATGTAAAATTTGAAAATTCTAAGGGGTTCACAAACTTTTTCTCGGCACTGTTTATCTCTCATTCACATCTCTCACTCCCATCTCTCACTCGTGAGATCCTATTTACATCTCTTACTTGCAGCATCTCGATCTCACTCGCAACGTATCCCACTCGCACTCTCACTCACAACCGCCCACAAATTCATCAAAGAGGACACCAGCGGAATGTCAGCCCAGCTGTGCAGAGTTGCAGGTGAATGTCAGAGGTGAGAGGTGACCACTCTGGAAGGTCAATCTCCTTTCAAAGAAATCCACGTGGCGACCGGCCCTGTGCACTGCCGCTTGTCGCTCATTTGACGCGTATTCACGTGATTGAGCGCCGCATCAATATCACCGGTTACCTCATGACAGCTGTCGTTATCTATTAGAACGGAAACCTTTCGTACCGCTTGCTCACCCAGGAACGCCTCACCGAGTCTCAAGACTGTTTCAGAAGGCAAGTGGTCTGTTGTGTAATTTCTTAAAATTTGGCAAACTTGGACCATGACACTGGCAAATGATGGCCTACGCTTGTTCGAATATCACTGGATCTTTAATGTTCACTGTGAAGCAGGCTGCACGAATTTTATGGTAAATTCAATCGCAGTATTAACCAGGGCAGACTGCTGGATGTGAACCATCAACATCGACAACAAGTGGCGAACAGCACTCCCACCAGGCCTCACTGCCCGAAGTGGTGTTTGTTATTCTGTGAGCACTAAACTGGTTAGCCGTATGTGACCGGAATAACCCAGGCTAATTCTGGACTCTGTGTTTTGCACCTCAAGAGGCCACACACCCACGTGATGACCATGATTCTTGAGCCAGGGAAGTGCTTGAAGCTCGCGTCCGGCTCTGTCTGGGCAATGGGGATTGGGGCAACTCGGCACAGACTCCACATGGTGGTAGGGTGGGGTTTCCAGGTCAGGCTAACTTTCTCCCACACACTAATTACTGCGGGAAACGTCACAAGTGCATTAGAAATCTCACCTGGTGTTCGCACTTACATACCATAGCCAGGTGCCTGGATTTCAAACGGTCTTAATGGTGGAAAGCCACCAAATGGATTTTGAACTTCTTTTTACGCACCATACGTAGCCAAATGCGCTAATCGGAGGTACGAATAAAATGTTTGATTCTTCCCAAATCTCCAAAGGTTTAGTGTCAGGCCCTGCTCCTGTTCTCAGTTTAAAC